ATTAAGGTTTATATGTTGTTTGAATGATTTATCTGCCGTGGAGCAGAGGTCTGACTGACATTGTACGTTGTTTTTTGCATGTATATCCCCCCCACTGTAATGCCTGATTTGGCGCTGTGGGTATTGCATAAATAAATAAATAAACGAGTGGAAAACGTGTCTTTAGCACGCTGCCGCCGGCCTCTGCAACGCTAGCAAAACGAAAAAAACGGCATGCAAGATGGCCGTCCGGTGGCCGCGCTCGCGGAGCGGAGGTGCGCGATCAGTGTTTAGACACAACAACCAAATATAATCAAAGTCGTGCGTCATCGTAGGCACACACACAATATTAAAAATAAAAAATAAATATACTTTTTTTTTTTTTTTTGGGGGGGGGGGGGGGGTTAAAAAGCTACAAATACGTTGATGGAAAAGAAAGTTGCACAGCCACGAGACCAGGGTGTAAGATAGACAGGTGAGGAAACGAGAGCCAAATGAGCGACCGGATTGTGTCCCTCTCGGGTTTCTCTTTTTCTGTGGCGCCATCTATGTGGAGCACCGCGAACTCTCACTCCGGGTGGGCGAACGGTGGCGACCGGCTAAACTGACTGAGAAGGTTTCTCGTGGATTTACAATGGAGAACTGTCGTGCTCTCGGTTTATTTTGCGCATTCTCCCATAAAGTTTCATGCAAATTCTATTCCAATTTTTTTCTTCTCGCCGCAGCGCCATCTGTCGCAAATTGGGGGTACCCTCAAGCAGACGAGTACACAACCGGTCACGGCGCTGCGGTAGGTTTCCATGGGCCGTTTCCCCACCTGTGTATCTTAAGGCTCATTCACACTCTTGCAACCGAGTACGACCGAGAAAGACTTCTTGGGACCGGATGCGCTGAGCGGAGCTGGTCCTAAGAGATCGCAAGAGGCTTAAAAACCGGTTTGGTCTCTCTCGGTCGTACTCGGTTGCAAGAGTGTGAACGGGCCTTTACACCCTGCACGAGACTTTCGCCTCCCCGGTCCAGTTAGAATTTTGGTTGCGAACAGTTGCGTTTTTTTTTTTTTTTTTACTTTGTTAAAAATATACGTGACGCTGTAGCAAAATATTGATTGGGCATTCTTCTAACACCATAATGAATCACCTGGCAAAACAAAATAAAAATACTTTCTGGGGGGTGTCGTTGACCCCGTAATACGTCACAACATGGCGTCTGGGTCCAAACCAGGGTGTAAGATAGAAAGGTGGGGAAACGGCCCATAGAAATCTACCGCAGCGCCGTGACCGGATTGTGTACTCGTCTGCTTGCGGGTGGCTTCTGGATACCCCCGAATTGCGACAGATGGCGCTGCGGCGAGAAGAAAAAATTGGAATCGAATTTGCATGGAAATTTTTGGGAGAGTGCGCAAAATAAACTGAGAGCACGACAGTCCTTCATTGAAAATACACGAGAAACCTTCTCCGTCAGTTTAACCGGTCGCCAGCGTTCGCCCACCTGGAGTGAGAGTTCGCGGTGCTCCACATAGATGGCGCCACAGAAAAAGAGAAAACCGACGGGGACACAATCCGGTCGCTCATTTGGCTCTCGTTTCATTGCACTCCGCTTTGCTTTGGTGGCAGACGACACGATATATTTGCTGGCCTCTGCAGCAGTGGGCGCCTTGTTGAATTGCGTCGGTAAACCAACGACAAAAACAAGTGCATCGCCATAGCCGTAAAAGCCTCCGCAATGTTTCTTTTCTTTTTTTGTGAAGAACTTAGTTTATTTTAGAGGGGTAAAAATGCCGTAAAATCAAACGACGTCATGCAGATCAGCTACGACGACGACCTGAAGTGCACTACCGGCGTAGTGCAGGCCAGCATGAGAAACAAATCGTACGCCGTCGAGGTAACTCGTTTGCTATTAGTATTATTGAGGTTGTCAGTCTCTCGCAATTTCGCAGTATTTTGTTCTTTTTTTTTTCCCCCGTGGTATATATTAAATTCCGTCGATGTGCTCTTTTGGTGAAAATCGCCATCGAACCCGCGATGCGAGTACCATCTGTTAAACTTACCTTATATTTTTTATCCAGTTCTTTCGCGCTTTGGGGTCTTGCGGAAATCTAAAGAAACGGCAAGAATCTTTCTCCTCGCAATGGCGTTACAACCAGGTACGAAGCACCTTCCCATAGCGCGAGTCCGCAAACAAAATTTGGGATCCGAACTGATCGCCTGAAGTGCTTTCCTCACGGGTGCAATGCTATCTTTTAGCAGACGATCATCTCAATCGACGCCCGGACTTTCGATAAACCATATTTTGCATCGCTCCCCACTATGAATTCTTTTAAGTGTCTGAAACTCATTATATGCAATATCAGAATATTGTCTTTATTCACTCGACTGAAACGACGGCGCCGGCCGGCCGCAGACGGCATACTTCGTGCACTTGTCGTCTGCTGCGGGCGTCTTGAAGACCGGAATTTGCAGTCGTAAATATTTCAGAAACAAGCGATTACCGGCACACTTCTGTCGAAACATATATGACATGCAAGCTTTCTATATGTGTGATTTTTAGAAGTTTAAATCCTACTCCTGATTTTTGAGCGGTCGGGTTTTCGTAGCGAAACCTAGCCACATGTATTTATCCATAACAACGACCCTAGCAACGGTTTGTTTGGACCCATGACGTCACACTTACGGAGTCAAAATGTTCCTTGTTTATTCTTTTTATAAACCGGAAGTTCTCTGGGACGTCAAAGACCGGAGTACCGTCTGGTGGCGTTTGCAAGAAAAGGGTCTACTGTGGGGATAAATCAACGTTGGATAAATGAACCCTCCCCTGCGAACACTGCTTCATTGGGTTCTAATTTCCTTGCACATTCTACAGAACTACAGCCTCGATAGTTGACAAGACCAAACTTTATTCAGCTTACCAAGCTGTTAGAAATCTCATTGCACTTGGAGAAGTTGCTCTCTCAACAAACCAATGAGCTTCGTACAACAGACAATCGCTGCTATCTGGCATCACATGTTCAACTATTAAATTAATGTGAACGGCAAAGAATAACGTTATCATTGAGATTTTGGCAGCACTGTATAAAAAAGCTTGCACTCGTGTTTCCATAAAATTAAATTTTCAAAATCACCTTATGGCTTGTTGACACACTTGCGTTTGCTTACACCCGATCTCTTAAAGGGCAACTCCGCTTCATTTTTGATATTTAGAAAACTATGTAGCCCTCTTGAGTATCATATAGGAAGACCCCACGTCAAATATTACGATCTAATTCCGTTTATTTATTTAATAAACTGGCCAGCAAACCTTCAAGCGAGCCAAGTCGCCGAAATCTGCCAACTCTAGCGTGAGGCGCGAGGCGCAATCATCAGCGCAGTCAATGCCACGGAGTTGGAGCGGCCAACGTTGAGCCACTACGTCAGAGGCATGATACGTCATTCTCACGTTTTGCTTGTTTTTACTTCTCAGAGCGAAATTGAACGATGACGTCATGAGTTTCTCCTCCCGGTGTTGGCTTACGGTGATCACGTGATCACCGTAACACGGATGCGCCTGGGATGCGCTGCCCTGCGCGCTTATCGGTCTGTTTATTTATTTATATATTTATTTATTTGTTTCTCCGCTCCTTTTCTCCTCTTTCGTCTTCTCCCCTTCCCCCTCGCCCCCGGGCCATCACCGTCCACGCCATGCGGAACGACCTGCCCGCGTCCAATGAAAAAAAAAAAAAAACCTCGCTCGGTTTTTTGCTTTCTCCCGAACGTCACAAGACCACGTGGTTCGACGTGACGTGCCATGACGACCCGAGACCAATGTTGCCTGACGCAACCGAAGTTTCGGTTTCGGTATCTGATGTTTAAATTAGGATTACACAAATAATATTCCACATTTCGCGAATCCAAAGACTTAGAGTTGTTTAGTAGTGCTTTGTGAATGTGAATCACATGGAAGCCTAAATTTTTCGGAATTGAGCGGAGTTGCCCTTTAAAAGAGAACCCACTGGCACGCTGCCGCCATCTATGAGGCAACCCTGAAACTGCATCATCTCATTAGGGCAAAGGTTTGGCAGTTTTTGCTATATCAAAGGTACTACCATCGATGAGAAATGGTTTATAATTTTACTAATAGCGCATCGTTTGGTGGAAAGAAGGTAGAAAGTCAAAAGCCCGACTTTCAGTACGAAAATTTGAAAACGCCCTCCTTCCCTTCGAAAGCTCTCTGCCTTTTCACTGCGATACATCCGCGGCACCCAAAGCACGTCACCGGGTCCGAACGCACGTCACACGACACCGGACCTCGCCTCGCTCAGAACTCGAACAAAGGTTTCTTTCCCCACTCCCTTCACCCCTAAGCCGACAGTGCAGTGAAAGCTATGCACTTGCCGGACAAATAAGCCGCCTCCCTTTCATCACCTGACCTCATTCTCTGCGTAAGGGTATGCGCGAGGAAGCGTGATCACATGGCAGAAGTGTGGCTGGCCCAGGGAACACGTAGCTTCAGCAGCACTGTAAGCTTCGGAATGAACGGAGTGGGGAAAGAAACCTTTGTTCCAGTTCTGAGCGACGGGCTGTCTTCTAGGAGGAGGACGGCGGTGTCCGGGTACACAAACGAGGGTCCCAGCCAGAGGGAACTCCCTCCTTTCCGCCCTCTTGAATTGTTTGGTAAAATGCGCGATTTGTGAGTTGAGGAGGATAGCTAAACAGGAAAAAGTTGAAAAATCATTTCATGACCCCTTTCAGTCTTATAAGAATTTCAAAAGATAGATGATAGAACAGTATTTCAACACTTATCAAGACTTCAGTAATGCCAGATTTACCGGTTCTTGGCAGGTGTGCAAAAGAACTTCAATGTAGTTTTAAATTTCAGAAGAGTTAAGAAAGGTGTGCTAACAAACTTCATTTTGAAAGCGTTAAGAAAGCTGGATGGGCTGCAGCTTCGACGATCCACCCGTCCCTCCTGGGCAACCTCTCTCAGCCAGAAAGGGTTTGCTCAAGAGAGCCTGGCCGACCCTCCCTCTGGAATAAGCAGTCAGAAAACTGAGCAGAAAAACGGCCTTTATACAAAGACGGAACATGCACAAAGTTTGTAACAACAGGAGACTCTCTTCTCACAGAATCGCCGTTTGATCTGCATGCTGTACACGAAGCGAGAATTGTCTAGCAGTAAAAACAGCCGTTTCTCAAAGCCCTTCTACTTCTCTGGAGGTTGTATGCGTTGTTGCCCTTCCCCTCCACTTGATTTCCTTCTACCTAGACCAGCTTCCTTCAACGAAACAGGCTGAGACAATCTGGACGTCATATGTTACTCCGAAATGCAAACCAACTGGCTTACTTTGTATCCTGGGACAAGTTCGACAATAGAGTTCCACGGCCAACCTATCTCGCACAGTCTATGCATGTGAAAGCACTTTCAAGTGACCCACTTGATACTTTTTTTCATTTTAATCCTACACCATAAATCAGAACGAGAAAAAAAAAGTTCCCAGTCAGAATTTGTAGGCTAGTTGCTTCCCTAAATTAAGTAGTTCCTGTCAATCGCTAAAGTATAAACCTAACGGTTCTAACCAAAGAAAACCGACGCGCTTACGACATCACTCTGCAGGTACTACGCACAATTGCAAAAATACAAACAGCACACTCCTTTCCCTCTTTCTTCAACAACCGTAGAGATAGAGAGTTATGTGACTATGTACACAAACACATGCATATGTACATAAATATGTATAATTATATATATATATATATATGTGTGTATATATATATGGCGGCAAGAAAAAGCGGTAAGACACAGAAGTAGGTTCAAGCTGCACAAACCACGTAGCAGTCAGGTGGAAGAAAAAAAAAAAGTCCCTGCTTCACCTAGAGCAAGATGCGACGGCAAACAAACAAGATTAGCGGCACTCCAAAGACAAAGTGAGAAAGAGTCGAGTAACACGGGCATGAGGTGCAAGGCATGCCCAGCCGACGCGCGCACAGCCTGCAAGCTGGAAGGAGGTTTTGAACGTCCTTTGGCAGCGCAGACGAAAGCTCGGCCCCACGGGCAACCCTCAAGTGCACACCCGTTTCGTTTTCGATCCGAGAACGTCCAGTCAGCATGGTAACCTCCTAAATCTTTCGTTCCAACAGAGCAAATAAATAGTACACAAATCTATGAAGAGAAAGGCAAGCACATTGTACGTCGCTCCGTAATCTACAAAAGCAGAGGGAAGAAAAGGCAGGTGGGAGGGACTCAAAAGACAGACGGGAGAATTCAAGCAGGGGTCACCCCAGAAGAAAACACGGGCCTGGAGTCGCACAAACGGTGTCTTGAGGGCGTCAAGACGGAAAGTCTGGGAAGGGAAAGGACGGGAGGAGAGAAGCACAACACGGAAACCACACACACGAGCCGTGACCAATGCTGGAAACACGGTGCTCGCTTGTTCTTCGGCTGGCAAGGGAGCACGTTGAAGACGCTGCGGCAGAGGCAAAGGTGAGCGGCGGGCGCTACCTCCGCGGCTGCTGGAAGCCGTTGGAGCCCTGGTCGGGCCCCTGTGGTTGCCGCACCACGTGGTCCGTCGGTGGCGGCGGCACACCCGCCACCTGGTTCACGACGCTCGTGCTGCCACTCCTGGAGCAGAACAAGCCACAAAAGGAGAAGTTCAAACACATTTTCGAGGCTAGGCACACCTAAGGCAGGGTAAGCAAGAAAAGACTAGTTTCTAACTGCAGTTATACTCCATTTTGCCTTAAAGTCTGGGTACTACCAACCCTATACAATTAAATGGTGCCAATCAAAACTGCATCAAAAGCACCAGGTTAGTCATTTTTTATATTTCAATGCGTTCATTACTGCCAAATGACCCATTTGAGCACAAAGAATGCTTCGTCATATATCATTTTTAACCCGCATGTTTTGTTGCAGAGGTCACTAGCTTTTGGCCCCACTCAGATTTGAGGCAGAACGGAGTATAGTTAAAAGCTTTGCCAGAAAACAAATATACTGGAGTATGAAGTAAAGTGGGAATAAATGTTTGTATACAAAAAAACCTAGATAGTGAAAATAGCCGTTATAAAAATAGGTAGAAAGGTAAAAAGTATGTTGGTGTTAGACTGGAGCAGGGTGTAAGATAGACAGGTGGGGAAACAGCCCATAGAAGCCTACCGCAGCGCCGTGACCGGATTGTGTACTCGTCTGCTTGCGGGTACCCCCGATTTGCGACAGATGGCGCTGCGGCGAGAGGAAAAAAAATTGGAATCGAATTTGCGTGGAACTTTATGGGAGAGTGCGGAAAATAAACCGAGAGCACGACATTCTTTCATTGAAAATCCACGAGAAATCATCTCCGTGAGTTTAGCCGGTCGCCACCCGGAGTGAGAGTTCGCGGTGCTCCACATAGATGGCGCCACAGAAAAAGAGAAACCCGAGGGGGACACAATCCGGTCACTCATTTGGCTCTCGTTTCCCCACCTGTCTATCTTACACCCTGGACTGGAGGCAGCTGATAAAACCTGTTTGCTCTACTGACGTCTAACCCGTGGTTAGCTCAGTTGGTAGAGCACTCCACTGGAAATGGAGAGGTCTCGGGTTCAATACCCAGACCAGGCAGATCTTTTCGGTCGCGCACCAGTCATCAAGTTGTGTTTGGAGATTTGTGCTTGTCCTTTGTCCCTCTAGATCCCCTTTTCCAGGGATTATTTCCATCATTTAGGTAAAGACTAACCCTCTTGCATTCAATCTCCAAGAGCTCACAAGAAATCCCTGAAGTTTAAGTATGGGTAGCCTAGAAAAGTAATACAAAATGAGTAACACTGCTTTAATTATGAAGTATTGGATGCAGAAACTCGGTAGTGGCTACTCCGGCCGGGTTTTACATGTGAACCCCAATCGCAGATCTCAACTCTGCAAAATGTCATCATGCCCTTTCTCCTGTGAAATAGTCATTACATTCCTGTCACTCTAATGGCTGCTTGAACGTATTAACTATACCGTGGTGCTACCAAATCAGTAATGTCTATCAAGTGCTTGCCACATTTGAGTTAAATTATTCTCCCATAATGATGATGATTAATAGTCTAATGCTAAAAAAGTGACAAAGGCCTCGCTGTGCCAAGCAAAATTTATTTAGAAGAAATACCTAGATTCATGGTGAAAATCACTGCAGAGTTATAGACGAAGTTGTAACTAGGCCGCAAATTTTCTGGTGTTTATAAGGAAAATCGGCACATGTATTTCTATAATTTGTTTTGAGACGCTAAAAACCGCAATTGTCGGTACAAAAATACTCACGAAAAACTAAGAGGTCAAATTTAGTTTACAACTTGTGTACAAACTTATGATGCTTTGCGTTTACTATGATGCGACGTCACTTGCAAACCACATACGAGTCCAAACACGGGCCAAAGCTTGAGTACTACTCCTCAAGATGCTAGGTTCAATCCTCACCCCTGCCTGTTTCAATCTGGATGAGCATCGCACCGGCGCGCAGTCGTGTATCACTACTGCGTCGTGGCACAAGCTAAAGACCTCATCCTAGCCGTTGTACTGCACTAGCTAAATTGCTCATCTACAGCCGAGAGACAAGTCGCCCGTTGAGGCAGACTAACTCCAGGCTGTGCCAACATACACACAACACACAATAGTACTCTTTGGACTTCGGGTAATTCACTGCGAGAATTAAATCTGTGTCACCTATGGAACAAAGAACAGAAAACCATAGTTTCTTGCATGCGCTAGTTTTTATTCTAAAAATTTAAACAAACCGAAGGTCAAAGTGCCTCTCAACTCGCACGTCGTCTTTCGAGTGACATACTCTGGGGAACAACCTGGTTTCCCGTTGGGTTCTCTCTTAAAGGGAAGCTACGGAGCTTCTTGGAAAAAATGAGTTAGAAGTGAATTCAAGAGTATTTTTACCCCGTGAACCCGAATACCCAAACCATTTGCTGCGTAAGTATTGTTAAACGCGAGAAAAACGCGAAAGACAGTCGCTGTCCGTGACGTCATCGACGGCTCTTTTGGCTGCCCAAGGCTAAGGAGGCGGGGCTTCAGTCCTATTTTGAAATTGCTCGTATGGCTCTCCGGCGCGTCGCATTGAAATACAATTTTGATATCTGTTAATCTAAAGGCCAAATGAACGCAATTTAAGCATTTTTTCTCAAATGTAGAAGTGCCCCATTTTCTCTTTAAAGGGAAGCTGAAGAGCTTTTCGAAAAAAATTAGTTAATGATTGGTTCTGACGTGTTTGTGCCTGCAGAGTCCAAATATCACTACCGTTTGACCCAAAATAGTCACTAAACGTGAAAAAAAGCGAAGAAAACAGGAGCGATCGCGGCAGCGGCACGCCATTGGCTAGTCACGCGTGGTGCACCAAGACGTCATAAAAGGACCACCTCGGTTCTCGCCTGCTACGTCGCTTGCGGAAGTAGTTGGGCGCCAAAGTTTTTGCTCTTGTAAATCGGGTTCGGCTTCTGGTTTTTCGAAATCTTTCGGTGGATCCAAAAGGGGAATGTGTCCAGAGGACCTTCTACGTGACCAAGTACGTGTTTCAGCCATTGGCAAAGCAGAAAAATAACCCTCCGCGGTAATACGGGCAGACACGAGGAACCACTTGCGCCGACGCGACATGACCGGCTTCATGCGTTCTGGAACATACTGGCTGCTACTCATTGTAACATAAAACGCTGGCAATAAACAGAGTGCTACTGACGGGACGAGTCTGGCCGAATTAGGGTGACCCTCCCCAAAACGGTCGTTAGAGGAAAAGAATTCAGCACACATTGGCCTTCATGCTTGGCAGCTGCTGGACACGTGAGCATGCAGGCTGCATTGTTCACCAAGGCTGAAGTGGGTTGAAGGGATAGTATAATCGGCTTGGAGCAATGGGAGAGCTTCCCCTGAGCTAGATGAGAGGGGTGATGGGACAGGGTCGCCGTCCTGCCACCGCCATGTCCTTGCGTACTACGCAAATAGCTCCACAGAAGGTCCATCCTTGTGATAGCGATACCCTCTGCTTCGTTTTATTAGTTTGCCACAAATTATTCCGAAATCACACCTGAAGAAAAAGCGGAGGTGTGTGCCAAGCAGCCAAAATTTGATGTCGAATTTGTGAAAGCTTCCTGGGCCTCTACATTCACACACACCTCCCAAGATTTGTTGACTGCATTAGACCACCACCAAGCATTGTCATCGTCCGACCGCATTTCTACAGCAGAAAGAACCATTGCATGACACACAAACTTCATACGGAAAACACTGCATAACTTGTAAAAAAAAACTTAATTCACAACAGAATGTCACATGCTTCATATCTCCAAAAAGCGCACCTGAAGAGAATATGTATGTACCCCATGGAAAGAAAATTTAACAAAATTTATGCTTACGTTTAAAAATTATGTGACCTCAAAAAATAGCAGTAACTGTAGAAAAAGAAGAAAAAAAAAAACGTCCATGCTAAAACAAGTTGCATTGTGAAAGCCTCAGTGACTGGGTAGCGGAGTAGATTAAAAAAACGAAATAAAACAATCTTAAGTAATGGAGTCGGTCCGGGAAATATGGTCACTTTAACAATATAAAAAGAAACAAAAACTAAAACACTAATATAAGGCAGTTAACACAAAAAAGCCAGTGGAAGCCAGCTATTTGGCTACATGATCGCAGCTTTTAGAGTATGCTGCACGCATCTAATAACGTAATAGCTTTTTCTAGAACTGGCAACATATAATTCCTACCTAGTGTCGTCTCCACTTTGCGTGTGCCTTTTAATGCGCTGAATTGCCTTCTTGCCTTCGACAGAGTTTCGCTTTCAGAGCCCGTTTGCTTGAAAGCGCTAACCGCGGCTAAAGTTAGCCGCAGTACCTAGCAGAGGGATTTTTTGAAATCACGTGACTGGCTCGGTAGGGATGCGGGGAAACATGGTGGTGCCCCGGTTAATGAGCACCGCTCGCTTTAAAACTAATATGTTGTTGCAGCTGCAATATCGGGCGCGTTAGTCAGCAACGAATGGTGCAGGAGGGTTTCGCTTTGCCTTACCTCACTTAAAGCGCAAAGCATGAGCATTTACCTCGCTGTATTCTTGAGTCTCTTTCGATTCTGGCCCTTCCTAAGCCTAAATGAATGCGTTAATGGTCGGCACGGCAACGTCTTTGGAAAGTGGACTGCCTTGACTCAATCGGCCGGGTATTGATAGCGCAGAAAAGCGCTTCTGCTTCCCTTTAAGAGACCCCAGACGCTTTCTCTGCGATTGTAGACTTTCAAGGATTAGCTTTGTCGAAGTTTGCGGTGAGTGATCGACACAAAAGAGTTTGCCACGGGGGCGACGGCGAGTGTAGCAGCGGAGGGGAACAGGTCTTGCTGACGTGTGTCCCTCAGAAGACGCTTCACCGTAGATCCTGTAACCGCCACAAACGACTGCTGATCGGCACTTAATTTGTTTTTTCCCTCGCGATTGCACAGCGGAAAAGTAGATTTTTGAGGCAAGGTGACACCCGCTTTTGTCGCTTGTGTTTAGATAAACAATAAAAAATATAGAAACTGCAAATTCTTTCAACATTTTAGTGTAACCGTCTGGAGTTCCTAGTTTCCTTTGTATCCTTCTACCCCTCTGCTTCCGTGTGATGACAAAATTAATTGTTCTCAAGCAAACTGTTTCTGTAATGAGGAAGGCAAGCTGTTGCTGTTGCCTCTTCAGCAAGATTGAACTGACGACAACCACCACCGTAGTTTCGAACACCGTTGTCCGGCTCTCAACCGAAGAGAACAGGGACATGGAGACAATCCGCGGTGACAGAATACCTGACTTAAAGGACACATGCAAAGGAAAAAAACATTTTTTTTAAACGGCTTAGATGGAAAAAGGACGCCATGAAACGATTTTACAACGAAGAAAAAAAAAATTTAGAGCTATATTTACGGCGCAAAACGAATTTGTAGTTGGCGCCCGCAGGCACCGCGGAAAAGTGGTCCGTATTTATCACGTGACTGGTACTTATTTATCACGTGGTGTTTGCATTCTTTCGGAAGCTTCCTATGGCCTCTAAAAGTAACTTATTCATCTTTGTTTGAAGTATAACAAGAAACTAAGATGAATAAGTAACTTTTAGAGCCCAAAGGAAACTCCTGAAAAAGCGCAAGCAGACGTGATAGACCTGTGCGCCGGTCGAACGACGGCGGCGGCGCCCCAAAGCAGACGAACTTGTGCGGCGGCGGCGACGGCGGCGTGGAGAAACGCGTGGAAGCGGCGTTCGCACAACGCTCAGCGTGCGGCGGCGATGCAGCGCGGCGGCGCGCGGGCCTACCACGTGACCAGCGGCGGCTCCCGCGAGCGCCAACTACAAATTCATATAGCGCCGTAAATATAGCTCTAAAAAATTTTTTTCTTCGTTGTAAAATTGTTTTATGACATCCTTTTTCCATCTAAGCTGTCTAAAAAATATGTTTTTTTCCTTTGCATGTGTCCTTTAACTCTCATGCCACTGTCCCTCACGGTTAGTGATTCCACTGATTCGAGACAGGCAGCGTGCTTGATCCTAGTCACTGACATGGTGATAATGGCAGGGAGAAGCTTCAGTTACCCCGCCTCCAGTGCAAGCTTCCTACCTTCGACAACGCTTTGGAGTCGAGTGCACCTCGAGGGCACATATGCAATTGAAGCACGGCAGAAGGCTTGGAGCGTGTGCTGGTGGCTGGGCGTTCAAAGGACGCCCTGCTGTTGTTATTCTGTCAGTGACTATAGGCAAGGGTATGCACCCAAAAAAAATGTCTAGGAAGGGAGAGTTTTGCCAAAAACATAAATTTCCAAAACTGGGTGTTTTTTAATTTTAACAGATTTTGTATGTCTGACACCGGTGGATGTTCATCTGTGTAATTTGGTAAAACCGGAAAGTCTATGACTTAGTCATATAATATGATGTGTTCACTAGTCGCCATAGCTATGTGCCTTGCTGCCATGCATGTGCTGCCAATGAGCTACCAGATTCCCCATCATCAAAGCTGTAGTTTGTGCTGGACGATAAGCTGCTTTACCCACAGCTCGCACTAATGGTTGCATGTTTCCTATTAGAAAAACTGATAAATTAGGCCGTAGCTCAAAAAAAAAAAAAAAAGCCATAGTGCATCGAGCCAGCATCACACCACAGTAATCGCTTATACCAAAAGCCAGCCCAGGCTAGGACAAGATTGCTAATGCTATCAACACCCAACACAAAGCACCTCAGCAAAAAAGATAACCGGACAGACAGGGAACTAAAAAAACCTTCAACCAAGCTGTTATATATCAATAAGCCTATCTCTGCCAGCAAGCAAATCCCATTTGAGCTAGCCTGTTTTGCAATACAAAGGGGTTTTCAAACTTTGCTATCTCAGAGAACGCTCTCATGACTAATAACCACAATGCAAGATATATATAGGCGTCGACACTGCGCGCGTCACAGCTGCCAGATAAAGTCCTGTCCTAGCCTTGGTTGTGGGCGGCTCCATCAGATGGCTCCTCGATATGCAGCTAACGGCAGCCAGTCGCAGGCCTGGTTTCTCATGCTTCTCTAGGGGAGACAGGCTTGTTCTTGAAGTCGTTTCCTGGGTGTGCCACGTCATGTAGAACTTGGCACGAGCGCTACATCTGTTGCTTAGATACTGCTTTGCCACCGACCCTAGCTTCGTGCCTCAATGGCAACAACAATTTTTTTAATGCGTTGAAGCGGAGAGATCAATAGCAGGGTGTTCAAGCCAGCGTCCGTCAAGGTCACAGCAGACTCTCTGAACGGAAAGCGTGCATGCCCAGGGGCCACGGGAACAAGACGCTTTTTGTTTTTCTCTTTTTTTTTTTCAGTTGCGCTGTCTGGACAGCGGAGACTGCCAGTTGAGGCTACTCAAGTACGCACCAATAGGACTTTTACTAGTCTATCGCGTCGTCGTGCTGTGCGTCTTCATCTACATATGTCTCGCACTGTGCTGATAACTGAGGAACCCCTCCTGCCTCGAGGTTGATGCAAAACAACAGTGCAGAAGCCTGCATACTGTGCAAACAATAGTGCACATATTAGTGAGTGGTTTTCCCTTAAAGTTATGCATTGGTGGGTGGCTCAGATCTGCTAAAATTGTCCTTAAACTATGGAAATTTATTTTAAAGGGGCAGGGCCGGTCGAGGAAATTTGGGAGTTCGGGGAACTCCCGAGGGCGAGGAACCCAGTTTGATGACCCATGCAGTAGAGGGACCTCCAAAACGGAATTGGGGAAAAGAAGCAGATTGTTTTGGCCAGATTCGTCGTCGTCAGAACTCGTCAACGACGCGTCATCCTCGCGTAAGCCATCCGGGGACACAGCATGGTCCAAAATAAAGGCTATGCTCGAGAATCGAATCCGGCACGGTTACGCGTCAGTGGCACGGGACAAATCGAGGGACGGGTCACTCACTTCTCCTTCTGGGCGTCGTCCTCGCTTCGCGCCGAACCCAGAATCCGAAGTCTGGCCTCGGCGTACTCAGCTTCGCGTTGCTGCAGCGTTTTCACGGGCTGTCGGCTGGGCGATTTCTCGGCGCCGCCTGCGCCGTTCGGGCTCCCGCCGGCTCGGTTGCCGTCCGGCGGCCGCTTGAGGATCTTCACTGTCGGAGCGTACTGCGTCCGCACACTGTCCTCTAGCAGGACGCGGGGCATAGCGAGTTCACCGATGCCGGTGGTGTTGTGCGCGGAGGTGTGGTTGCTGAAAGCACCAAGACACCGCAAGCGGCGATAAATCGGGTGTTAGGAAAGCGGCGTCGCGCGGGTCACAAATGTAGCCCCCTTTTGGGGCGACGTTTTAGAATGGGACACACGCTAGGCGATTGAAAGGGTTAACGGGAAAAACAGAGGCGTCGCTGGCCCGCGAGGCAATACTTGGATCAAGAGAATCGGCGGTAAAGAGACTGACCTGTTTGTCGAGTTCGTTTTCACCTTTAACCTTTCCAACTTCTTTTCCAGGACCTGAGTGAAGGTGACAGCATGCGTTAGGAAATCCAGGACGACGGAAACTATGGCACAACAAGGCATGCAAGCAGGAAAACGACACGGCAGGTCCAGAAGGAGAGATCTCGTTTTATCTTTTTTTGTGTTGTTGTTTCTTTTTCCTTCGGGAGTCGGCGGTGAAGTAAGCGAATCAAAGAGGGAAGCCCCCCGTAGAACGATAAGCCTAACGTTAGGCCTACTTTTTTTCCGGTCCGAAAATAAGCCGCCGCCGCGTCACTTCACCGCGGCCCCTCCCGGAGGTCGGTCGTGAACGCGGAAGCTTCAATGCTCTGTCAAATTGTGTCGTTGCGGATAACTTACGCCGTTCTCGACCATATCTTCCCAATCATCGCAAATATCGTCCGAAATGTCGTCTGCCATCACTGTTACGAAATAAAAAAAATAAATAAACACCAGCGCTGGACGTGACGTCTGGCGGAAGTTCTCAGACCTAGAAACTGAGAGTAAAAACAAAACAAAGAGCAATGATCTGATTTCGATTTGAGATGCTGAGCGACTGACGAACGCCGGAGATGGCACATTCCATCATTTTCAGAAATCTCTATATTGGGGTAACTTTTTCTGTGACATTTCCGAAGTGAAGACCACAGGTGAAGACCGCGCAAGTGCACGGGAGCATTTGCACCGCTAGCTCGAAATTATTATTATTATTATTATTATTTTTCAGTAACAATTAAGCGCCGTTCACACTCTTGCGACCGACATGAAGTCACCGGTCAGTTCACGACTGTCACAAAGCTTATTCGCGGCGAGTAGGGAGGCAATCATTTATACCTTGTGTAAATTATTCAAGCACCTTAATGGGCTTTTCTTTCCCGAGTTGGGAAAGAAAACGACCCTTTGCCCCATAGACTCCCAGCAAAATTTAGCAATTAAATGGCGTCCATGTCCCGCGATCGCCGATCTAGCAGTTGCACCCACCCTCACTTGAGCCTCCCTAGCGGCGAGAAGTTTGGGTATCGCCGCCTGGTGGATTTTTTTCGTAACCCAGATTGAGGATACTTCAACTTTCTCTGCTGGCGAAGCACGTGCAATGTCAAACTTCTCTGCACTATGAAAAATAAACAACCTCATGGGTAGCACGTGCACTACCCGGTGAGAAAAACAGAATCGCCTCTCGCGAGTTTCTCAGCGCGAATAACGAGGCCAATAGGATATCTCCCTCAACGGATGGCAGTAAAGCCAGTAAAGCTCAACTCTTAACGTTAAGTGTTACAATTGGTCTCACAACGAACTTCCCAGTACACGTGGCCCGACAGGAATCCAACTTGTCAACTCTAGTCATAAGCCACCAGGACCAACGCCACTAGAACACATCCCTATCACAAAGATGCTGCCAAATATCTTGCCATCAATCCCGACAAAAAACCTTCTCAATCTTGAAGAATCCGCCAGCATGCAAACTCTACAGTATGTGTCAGTTCATAGAAATGAATCTACTAACAAGTCACAAAGATGGCAGCAGAAGCAGTCAATGAATCTCTATGCTCTTATTCACTTCAACAACAGTAGTAAAGACTATCCGGCTCCTCGCAAGGCATTACTATTTAAACCCGCTTCAGGTGTCGAAAAATGTGTGAAACCTTTTTTGTTGATGCGACAATGAGTATAGGTACATGCACAGTCATGTCCAGCATGCCATGCAGCCCCGCGGAGAAGGAAACGAAGACAGTTCTTTTTGTAACACTTTTTTTATTCCCCTTTTTATAGATCAATATACCTCTTCTTTTGAATATACAACGACTGGCACAAAGACTGCATAGAAACTTCCCCCCACACAAACCATTCCCAAAGCCTCTCCCCGGTTTTGTTTCTGGAAATAGTCTCCTCTCCCGCACGTCTCCGCCTCTCGTTTTGTGTACCACAGGCCGAGGGGTCTGCCCCCTCACCAAACAAGGATGAGGGCTACACTAATCTCGATCCACTGCTTCTGACCAATCCATACACACATAGACACACACACACATTCAACCGGTAAATCTGGGAAAAAAAAAAAATTATAATAATCACCGTGGAAGTTTGCACCAGCCCAAGACTCCCAAAAGAGCAGGGTCAACCTAAGTGCCCCTACCCCAGAACGTCACTCCAACCAAAAATCGTGCGCGTCAAAGAGCACTCCAAACCTGCTCTTACACAAGACAGATTTCATTCCCACAGATGAAATAAAACGGAATACAGCCCGCTAGTTGAGCCATATATGTTGCACCCAAAAACTTGAGCATTGTGATACACAACTTGTGCTTGTTAAAAAAAAAAGTAAACATGGGCATGTAAGCTTGGTTGTAGTTTCGTTAGAATTACGTTAAATATTCTCTAGTTTTCAAGGAAGCGACGCCCAATAAACGCAGGAGGGAAAAGACTGCAAGAAAAAAATTAAGAGGACAAAACCCAACATTTTAAAAACAGAAAAAGGCCAACCAGTTTTCGTGGCAACCCTGAAATAAAAGTTTACTTAAATAAGGAGTTCCCACGACGCCAAAAAATACATGCTCATGTACACATGCATGCAGAGAGAATTGAGGGACTACAGATTTAATCTGCAATTTCCTCAGGCAACGGGGTCCTCGAGGGCGCTCACCGAAAAACGTGAGCCTCCGAGCAACTCTCTCGTGGAAGCTGCACGAGACACTGTACGACGCTTTCTTCGGAGGTGGACATTGCACATCATTTGAGAACAAAAAATTCGTAAGCCCGTCGGCGGGAGCCACTAATGACGCGACGGAGAAGCGCTCGAAACTGTAGGTACGACAACGCCAGAAGAGACAAAATAAAAACTCTGGGCATCTACACAGCGGCACGAAGGCACATGCAGAAAAAGGGACACCAAAGTAGGGCAATGAGGCAGTTTTAACGACTGACAAGAAAAAAATCAAGAATGCGCATTCGAAAACGGCAACAGACAGTCCTTTACTGATCCGACGACTGGAAGCTCTTAACAAGAGGGTCCGAGGGAAGACGGGGCACGACTCTTCGACCTAAATAAAATTAGCTCGAAAAAGAAGACAAAAAATTATAACAATGCGAGACAAAAAAAAAAAAAAAAATGGCCTGGAACCTTATTTGCGATCAATTGTCATTTCAACAAGTCTGTATCGAACTAGATTAACGGGATGCGGGCACACAACGAAACAAGGTGAAGACCGCTACGTCGAAAAAAAAACTGGAAAGCGAGAGAGAGAGAGAGAGACCGAAGAAAAAAAAAAACTGGTCCCTCAAAAAGGAGAAGAGACAACAATGAGTTGGAGAGTAAAGGGGGGACTTTGAAGAGGGGTAGGAGAGGTCTTGCGGGGGCGGGGCCTAGCGGCGGGGGGGGCCCCAGGGCACGGGCTTGGCGGGCACGGCGTCGATGGGAGGTCCCCCGCCGAACGAGGGGAACTCCTGGGTGCTCGAGGTGTCGGGGGCTCGCTGCTCCCAGGGGCCGCCGCGCACCACAAAGCCCTCGCTTGAGCGGGGCACCTCGTTCCAGACGGATTCGGTGCCGCCGGCGCTGCGGCCACTCTGGCGCGTCGCCTGGTAGTTCTCCTGGTCCAAGATGTCCTCCAGCTGGAAACGTGGGAGAACGACAAAATGTCCCGCTTGAACCACTGGTACGGTTGAGCCTCGTTCCCACACTTGCGAATGCTTTCGACCTCTCGTGATCTCTTACTAGAGCACGCCAAGGTGCCACCTATTGGGCAGCCGTGAACGCTCACGACTTCTGCATACCGTATTTCTCATTTTTCTTGCGCATCATACTTTTGTCACCGCTCGACAAACTTCTCACAATGATACAAACAACCACTTCCCATAGGTGGTGCATACATTTGAGCTTGCAAGTGCCGCAAAACCATCGCTCTAGTGAAACGCAGTTCTGGAGCACCTCAGAGGTGGCACCAGCTAGGCCAGTGTGTTCGCTCAAAAAATATTACGAGAGGTCATAATATGTTCGGTCGTAAGTAGTTGCAAATGTGCCGACCAGCTTCGACAGCAATAGCTGCGGATTTCATTGTGTCCTGTGCATCTCGCAGTAAACCTGCAAAAACCTCGCGACTACCTTGCAATTAATCTGTGTAAACCTCACGACACCACTGCACGTGCGCACCAGCCCATTATCAAACCAGACCGAGGTACGCCCAGTGGAGTGTTTGGCATTCGTTGTGTTTAGTGGGAGCTCCAAAGTTGGTTCACACAGTTCTGTTTAACACACTGGCACATTGGCACCATATAATGGGGCAGCATTGGAACACCTTTGACCCATGTACATATTTCGTAATTTTTTTACAACTCATTCTTCCAGAGAAGAGCTGTAAAAAAAGTCAGGCAGCGTTATAAGCTACCAGTTCTCATATATGGTGATAGACCTTAATATCTCGCACACACTGCAAGACCTTCGGTTTAGTTGTACGCACTTTCCGCACTACCCGGCAGACGGCGTCAACATGCAAGTGTGTCCCACCGATCCATGCTACGAGATTTATGATTCCTACGGTACAAAGACAGGGTGACACCTCAGACAAGAGCTACAACAAAGAAAGTGGATCGTGCACTCGCTCCTTGATTTGTCGGGTCAGTGAACCTGGCACAACACAGGTAGCAATGCAATGAAACACAAATATAAAGTTAAGCTAGGGACAGCATGACTTTCTACACACTATGATAAAGCAGCACCACTGCTCAGTCTTTCTTGGTTCTAGAAAACGCATCTTTAGAGCCGACGTCATGCGGCACAGCCCCTCTAACAAAGACAAGCTATAACTCAATTTGAGTGAACGATTGTTGTTGGCTTTGGCGTTCGCTTTCGGAGGTCGCGCGCAGGGCTGAGAAAGCAACGCTCAGTCACGGACTTGTAGAAGATTCGTGTTCATTCTTACTCGGGACGTAACTTCCATCAGCGCGTCCTACTTTCTTGTTCTTCAAAGTGCCTGTTCATTCTCACCCCAAACGCTCCACGCTCAAACCTCCTGGGCCGAATTTTCGAGATGCCAACACACACTAGATAAAGAGTTGCGCGAGACCTTGTCGAGTCATCTCGCACTCACTTGCCGTTATGCCGCCAAATTGCTGCCCGCTTTTCTACTGTCTCGACGCTCATTCTTTATTCTGTTTGGCACAAGTTCGCACCCCCTTCAAACTTACAGCTTGCAATGGGATTTACGCCGCTTCTAATCCTGTCAATCATGACAAACTGCTATCAATTAAGAGTTAAAAAAAAAAAAAGATTGACGTGCAATTTTATTTTTAAAGATATGAGTTGCATTTCTGCATTAATAATGAAAATACAATAATAGCTAAGCATATTTTTTTACATATTTGTAAAATACACTCATTTTGATACATCTTGCACCATTTTATATAGTTTGTTGGTAAATAATTTGTGAATGTGTCTCTAGAACATGCTTAGTTGACACGTTTCATAGCCTTTCTTACATAGAAATACTATTTCAACATTGTGTATACATGGTTTGTGAACCGTTCATAAAATAAGCAGGCAAAATTATTACTATGTGCATGTTTCAGTCTCAAATCGATGACTGTGCAAATACCATAGTGAAAACCTAAAATACAATAGTGAAACCTTGAAACCTCCACATCTCGAGCTTCGAGATTTTACGTCTTTGGAAGAAAATTAGCTACAGTGTTCATACACAATCAAACCTTGATGTAACGAAGTTGGTAAAATTCACAATTTACTTCGTTACATTAAAATTTCGTTAAATCAAAATACGGCTTTAGAATTTAAAAAATTTTCCAAAGTGTTTTACAGGTGTGAGAACTCACCAAAAATTACATTTATTTGCGGGTAAAGTAGTCCGTGACTTTTGCTCGCGCCTTGTTCGACAGTAGCAGCAGTTCATACGGCATTCAAGAGCCCAGAGCGCTTGCAGAGCTTCTTGCTGCTCATGCCGTCCCTTGTACTGCCTCAGTACATCAAATGCGTCGAGCACTCCTCGAGTGTACGGGATCTCGCAAATTTCTTCGGCGTTGGCCTCAGAATCGTTGTCATTTTCCGTCGCGTTCCCAACTACATCCTGCACGATGGAACCTCTTCCGTCGCAACGACCCAAGAGTCACCGTAGAGGTAGTCCTCCAGATCACTGAGGACAACACCACCATGCCCTCAGAAGGGTATCTTGGTTTTGTCCCATCTTCACTCGGAATGGACGAAACTGTGGGAGCACTTCCGCTTGCTTCCCCGAGAGCACTGGCTGTTGATGTTGCAGGTGTCTCAAACTCAGCTTTTCGGAAAGAGTTCTGGATGGCTTTGTTCGTTGCGACTTTCCAAGATGCGGAGAGCATAAAAAATATTACCCGGACCATCATTATGGAAATGACGTGGAAACACCTGACTGCTATTACTGACCTGTGGTGCGTCCTCTCATAAACGATCGCAAGAGACCGCAATCTCCTCGGTCACACTCAAACTCAAATCTTCGGATCAATCGAAAGAGTAGAGTCCTTGTAAATTTACAAAGGTGTGCTAAGCCTCCTTGCTTTGCAACGGCAGGGCACCTCCATAACCCATCTAAAGGCTCGAAACTCACGTGCTCGTCCTCGAACTGCTTGAGGTATTCGACGGCCTCCTCGACGTCCTCCTCGGCCCCGGTCACCTGGACCAAGTCCTTGTTGGCGTCCTCGGGCCGGGGGAACTTGATCTCCACCTTGTGTTGCTCCATCAGGCGCCGGATGTTGCGGCCCCGGGCCCCGATCAGCCGCGAGTGGATCCGGTGGTCGATCTCCACCTCCCGGGTCACCATGTCCTCCTGCATGTCCACAACGCACAACCTCACTCATCAAGGAGCCAGAGACAGCGGTCACGCAAAGATGTCTGGGCACATGCCGCATTCCGACGTCCACCTTTATGCTGACTTTCCTGTCACGCCTTCTTCATTACCAGAGCCGGACATCGACTCGTCGTAAGCAACGACAAATGTGCAAGAAAATGCGGCAGCTCTGTCCCAGCAGAAACGACCTGCGCTCACTTTTGTATACGACTGGCGTCCGTCTCCGTGTGATTCAGCCAGTACGGGGCAATTGCCGTCGTGTAGCCACGATTGCACGAAATAAAGCCCTTCAATTAGTGTCAAGACTGAAGCTGTCGCAGGAAAATGTGGGCTATACACAATCGTCCCTCCTAAGCAGAAAGATTACAGACAAACTGGAGGTAAAAGGCAAGGGTCCACCACCGTCAACCGACGCTTTCCACCGCAACGACGGGAAACAACGAGGGCTGCCATGCAACCATATTCGGTGTACTCGAATTCACTTTCAACCCCCTCGATTCCGAGTGACATTAAGTACAACACAACTTCGATATGGCGATGTCCGATAAGGTAATGGCAGAGATACAGTGAAGATAAGGCAAGGCCCAGACCCCTGACGCATCAATAAAGACAAGCAAATCGTTCGCTGACCAGTGGTTCGAGCGCCGAGCGGTGACTTTACTGTTCTACAAATCGGTTACTACTCGCGCCAAGCACCAACGGTTGCGCAGCGTGTTTGTGAACGGTATGCTCGCATGTAGAGAAGAGGCTATGTAGTCCAGAGTTTTCCCACCTTTCTTTTAAAACTTTTTAAAAGCAAGTTGCATCCCAACGAAATCTTTCGCAAAGAGTTCGGCCGACATGGGACCAAAAGCTTGCACGCACCCACTCTTTGACAATGCGCAAGATCTCGTCACGGGCCGTGATGGCGTTCTTCTCGTAGCCCACCACGGTGATGATGTTCTCCTCGGGGGCCCCCTTGTCCGGGAACTGCACCTGGACGCCGTGGTCCTTGCGGATCTTGCTCACCATGGTGCCCCGCCAACCGATGATCTTGGGGTGGTACTTGTTGTCCACTTCCACCTCCAGGTGGAAGCTGCGCAGCTTCTACAGGGGGGCCACGAAGAGTCGCCGTTAGCAAGACCGAGGGGGAACGTCGGGGAGAAAACGGGGTCTGGAGTTTCAACGAAAAACACAGACCGGACACTACTCTTCGACTGCCCCTTTTGCACAAAAAAAAACAAATATGAACACCATCGTCTAATACCTACATTCATTAGTTGCCAATGTTCCACGAGATTCTCAATTGTACATTTAGAAGAAATAAATTTGCCAATAAGAGAAATGGGAGTATGCGAGACAACTGGTTCAGTGATGACATGTTTCAAGAAAAAAAACGAAGGCTGGAAAGAGGGAAACGAGAAACTGGGCTGTGCAACACTGTAATGTTCCTTCAATCCTAGTTTCGTTTTTTTTAAGGGGGGACATGGCCTCAGAATTCAGAATTTCCAGGAAAAATATATTTTTCAAAAATAATATGTTTATTAACTTCCGAAGAATAATTTCAGAAAATTTCATTTATAAACATGCAGCATTTATCTCACAATAAATTATTTTCGACATGTCAGCAGCCTCCGAGTCAGCAGGAAGCAAATTTGTTTGCGTTCCTTATTTAGCACTGCTTTATACTCGTTTAACATAGCCAGAACATCTCACCCTCATTGGAAGCGCATTTACTCTAGATATAGCCTAGAGCCACTAAATAAGCTGCGCTTAGAGTATCGGCACTCCGTTCCCCGACATTGTTGTGGGCGCCGCCATTTTGGCTCGTATGCAGAACAGACGCAACGGCCGATCGTCATGATTCAAAAGTGCTACTTCCTCAGCATTAGATTCGGTGTTAGGAAGGTAATGTAATATTGCTTTGCTCTGTCGCGAACGGTTTAAACATTTCTGGAGGGCGGAAAAGCATTTCCTGTGATTTCAGATAAAGCTTCAGATAACTGGCAACCATGATTTTAAGCCACATAATGGCCAAGTGTCGTTACTCTGAAGCGTAGCTTATTTAGTGGCACTAATATAGCCCGTAGAAGCTTTCAAAGTTTAAATGTACCAATGGCCAGGAGAACCCTTAACATCCAAACAGAAAAAAATCCTGAAACTTGGTATGAGCAATCTTATTGGTTGAGACCCAAAACAGGGTTTCCGATTGGTCCACTGCCCGGTGACGTGATGTTGTGCCATCTTCAGTAACACCCTTTCACAGTATCTTCCACTTCAGATCATAATCCTGCTTTGCTGCTCTTTCTTAGTACAATTTGCCTTTAAGTTCTTGCCAGTCTACCTGTCAAGGAATGCCTGCTACCAGTGGCGTAGCCAGAAAATATTTTCGGGAGGTGTTTTAAGGTGTTAGCACAATCACAAACGCAATGATAATAAAAAAAACTATACCGTAATATCCCGAGTCATCGCCCATCCCCGAGCCATCGCCCACCCCGTTTTTTGGGGCCAATATAGATTTCCGAAAAAACACCGAGTCATCGCCTACCCCTTCAAATACCCCAGCGCGGACTCTGCGATCCGCGAACACTCATCCTACCCGAATGACGCGGCCGCGGACCTTACAGTTCGAGGACATCCGTGACAAAGTAAAACAAAGGAGGGAAAGACACTTCTTTTTGTTTACCTCCGTGAGCGACCCCAAAGTGGTCGTGTATCCGTGCGAAAAGAAAACGATGGAGATAACAAAATAAGAGTTTGTTAATGTAACCCCGGAGTGTTAGGTCAAAGTCTGTCTCCGCCGAAGTAAGGTCACCGCGAACCTGCGCCTTCTTCCCGCCCGTCGCGACCGCGGTTGTGCAATATTTTAGGCAAAGCCAACGCGTAAATAAAGCTTTGCTGGAACGCCCTACACAGACGTTTGCAGAGCGTCCCAACCGTGCGTTGATAGCCCGCCGTGCACGGACGCACGTATGTACACACCAAACAAGAAAGTTGCGCAAGAGCTTGCAATTGACAAGGCGCCCGACTTGGCCCGACGCCAAAGTATTTGCCAACGCGACCCCCGGCTTTCCCGCTTTCCCAGCATTGCTCTTGGTCGCTTCTTTGGTCCGCTCGCTCGTTGCGCCTGGTCGGATTTTCTATTTTCTTGTAGACTTTTCTTTCTTTTTTTTTTTTTTTACTAACTAGGAGAACATAGTGGTGACATTCTTTCACGGAACAAACGTTCGCGCTATATGCAGATCGGCGGTGTTTCTAGCGCGTATGCAAGCAACGGACTTCGCTATAGTAAAATATTCTTTCGTGAGCATTTTTTTCTGTAAAACAATGAAACTAAATCGAGTTTTGAGTTTGATGTATCTCTTGTGCATCAGCGCTAGATACGCAGAGAAAAATATGCGGTTTTTTCCGCTTTTTTTCAAGTGTTTGTGCTCACCCACCGAGACATGGCCCACCCCACTTTTTTAATGAATTTCAGGTGGTAGGGGGTGGGCGATGACTCGGGATATTACGGTATATATATATACCTATACACAGGGTGTTTTACGAAAGGTGGACAAATTCAATATTGCGAAAACTATGCGTCGCAACAAAAAAAGCTTTGTGTCATTTTGGTCCTGGGCCAGGGGCCTATTTAGGAAAATTATTAAAGTCCGGGATAATAAGGTTGTTAATTATTTTTGCGTAATTAACTTTTTTAATATTGTGTTTAAGGGCATGGTTTCAATTAGAAATTGCACAGCATCATCTATAAAAACTAAATCAACAAATTTCAGAACAATAGAATGCACGCGAAGCATTTTTATGGCTTTCTGAAAAACTGCACAAATTCAATGGGTTTTCAAGTTTCGGTTCGCTATTGGAGCGCATCTCGGAACCGACGGCACCGCGCCCTGGGGAGAAATAGTGCAACCAGCCTCTGCTGCATCGTGCGAGGACAGCACAGCAGAGGTTGGTTGCACTATTCCACATTCAAAAACTGATCTATGTCCGACGTTGCTCTGTATCTGTTCTCACGTCGTTCAACCCGCAGGAGTTGCTCGAAGCTCCAATTCAACCGAGTCCCTCGTAACTGTAAGCAGCAACGACTGCAATGCACTGCCGTGTTTTTCGTCCATCTGCTCTAGAACGTGCCGCAACAAAGTGTTTGTGTGTTTGACGGTTTGGAAATCACTACAAGACGACATTCATCAGTGCCACTAAACAATAAAATCTTTGAGAGAAGTATTTTTCGCTCCTCTAATTACAGTGGAACCTCGATTACACGACTTTTGCGGGACAGCGCGAAATCACCGTGTAATTTGTGAGTCGTATCATCCGAAAAAACAATTAACCACGGATACAGTAATCGGCCATCAGGAAAAAGACAAGCGGAGGTTTTAAATCATGTCTAAGCTAATAATCTGCTCTCCTATCATCAATAGTATCCGTGTCCGGGACATCGTTCGCCGGTGTGCACAATCGCAACAACAGGATCCAGCGTATTTCCCGCCGGAACGTCATACGACGTGGGACATGTAGAATCCCGCGTCGTGTAAACCAAACTTTTAATACATTATTTCTTTGGGGAGTTCGTCGGGACCGGGCAAATCCGTCGTAAAATGCAGGATGTCGCATAAACCGGGGACGCATAATCGAGGTACAACTGTATCAGATAGTCTTTTGCTCGCCAACGCGGACCGAGTAGGCATACTGGGATTGAGACATTGCGGCTGTTTTCACCGGCCCATGGAGGGGATGCATCCTTATTTCCGGCTCTCGCATAAAAAAAAGTTGGTTCCGATTGTGACCTCGAACGTTTTGTACAGCACTGCACTTGGGCAAGCTGACGCTAATCAACAACTAAGGTCGGCTGCTACAAGCAATTGCTATGCGAAATGTTTCTGCTAGGAGCCACACTATGAAACCCCCGTCTTGACGTATGGTTCCAATACTCATCGTCATCGTTTCCGGGCAACTATGCTAAGATTAGCACAGTTTCCACAGTGGCCTAACCTCACACTGCCGCGCAAGCACGTGTCGAGTCCCGTTCGCGCACGGCAAACGAGGCCACTCATTCGTGCAAGTAGCTTCAATAGCTACTTGATGTCGTCACGCACAAAAGCTGGTGTCGAGTACAAGTGCAGCTCGCATAAAATGCCGTGTACTCAAGGTTTTCACCTACCCCACAAGCCAACTGCTTCGAGTGTCACATTCTCATGCACTCTGTTTCACCATAAGTGGGAGCGAAGCCGACGCTGCAAGCAGAAACATGCCGCCTCGCACGACACTTTTATTGCACGAGCGAACATGCGCGACCTTGCTCTTGCAAGTTCAGCTTTGCCCCCCCTTAATGTAAACGAAGTACAGGGCGGGGTGTGCCTAGAGTATTTTCAGCTCTGAAAGCTTCACCAGAGCGGCAAAGGGGGGCAAGTTGGTTTGTGTCGAAAGACAGCTCTGAAAGCTGTTCCATCCCAAGCACTTCTTCCTCCGAGCGTCATTTACGTCTTGAGCCTCCGAGACGACCCCTCGGAGCAGAGAGATGCTGGGAGCTCCCTGCACTCACCCTGTCCTCCTCCTCCTCGAGGATCTGCTCCACCCTCTGGAGCAGGGCCTCCTTGGCCGAGGCCACGTTGGCCGGCGTCCCGGACACCACCAGCACGTCGCTCTCGTCCGCCTGGGGCGGCACGCTGATGTTCACGTCGTGGTCCTCCATCAGCCGACGGACCCCGGCGCCCTTCTGGCCAATGATGAAGCGGTGCAGCTTGAAGGGAACCTCCACCTGGGCAGCGGCATTCCCATGCGGGGCATTGAAGCAAACAAAAACAGATGTCCGACAAATGAACGAAGTTGGCGAGGCACATAGAACGGTGCCCGTAAGGTTCTCCAATTTATAAGGCCAATGGGAAAGCTGCATGCTTGTTGTTGGCACTGGCATAGACTCTGACTACGAAAATTCTTCGACAGCCAAAACTGGTCAGTCACGGTTTAATGTTGCGCACCAGATTTGGGAAACTTTCACGCGAGTGACGCATTCACTAAGAGATTCAAAGTGCATACTTTCTTTTTCAACTTTATTTTTTAAAGGGAAATACGTTCCATGGTGGATGTTGGCAGGTTCCTGATCACAAAAAAGGTAACTAACCTCGAGCTCAGGCTACTGCCTGCACTCAACCCTTAACAAAAAGGAGCTTTTGACCCATTCTTACGTCAGCCCTTAAGCTTAGCAAATGGCCTGCAGACATTAAAGGGGTCATGAAACAATATCGGGTTAGAATAAAAGGGGACTATTTCTTTCAATCTTGCCTTCGCAAAGCTTGATGACATAATTGTGGGATCGAAACCACCCGTCTGACAACAGTCGAGCGTGGCTCACAGACTGGACACGAGAACTGCGTGAGCACTCAACTTCGGCACGTAACAATCGATGCCTCGGCGAACTCGGGTAGTGGCTCGTATCCAACGACTGCGGTGATGAGAATAGCAAACTCTAACAATGCCTAGGGTTCAGCACGCATTTTCTACTATGCCAACCTCAGCAGATGGGTATGATTAACGTTGGCGGCATAGGATAGGCACTGGACCACATGGTCGCTTGTTCTGGCTCCAAGTTGAGGGGACGAACGATGCTCATATTGGTTTCTAGGCAATGGCGACTGCCATTGCCTAGAAAGAAAAAAAAACCAAGGAAAGTTTAAACAGTTATTAGCTTTAGGGAGCCTAAGTAGTATCTAATGAAAGCAGAAAAATTGTTTCATGACTTCTTTAAAGGTAGCCAACCCCTGGTGTAGAGAAAACGAGACCATACTAAGAGCACCGTAACAAGCTTCGAGCCAACTGACAGATCTCACCATCTAGTTCCGTTGGGTCGCTGCCACCACCATGTGTACTGGGGACTGTAGTCTTTCTGCACGTGCAACAAACCCGCTGCGGGTCTGCGCAAGCAGAGCACGAGATGGCACAAACTGTCTCGTGCACGTTCACCCAACTTTCGTGAGCCACAGTTACGGCGGCAACGCGCACACGTGAAACGCCTAGTGTGAAACCAGTTTACTCCGAGAAGCTCGCCGTGGCAACACCTGCACTTGCGTACGTCTCCGACAATAGGCGATCCCAAAGTAAACGAGGGGCCGAGCTCACCTCCTGGGAGACGGGCACCAGGGCCAGGAGGGCTTCCCTGGCGTGCTCGCAGTCCTCCTGCTTGCCCTTGATCAGGATCAAGTCCTCCTTGCGGACCTTGCCCTCCTCAGGAGCCACTTCGGCCACCTCCCCGTTCACCGCTGCCTCACCGTTCTCCAGGGGCTCTGCAGTCGCAAGGGACAGCCATTTGTCAATGACAGGGAGCGCTACCGCGCTCCATCGTGACGGAGCCTCGTGTAGAAACGTCGGCCGTTGGAGCGATGCCAGGCGTGTGCCGCTCCTAATGGTCAAACGGTTTGCCTGAACAACGCAAAAGCTAGAGAGGTCTCGTGTCTACCGGAACAACAAAATAAGATAAACCAGTACAGAACGAGCGGGTTGGTACGGATAATTAAACTTGAGGAAGAAAACGAGAAGGGACGGACAAACACAAGTGTGTGTTTGTCCGTCCCTTCTCGTTGTCTTCCTCAAGTTTAATGAGATAAACCACCCACAAAAATAAACCGTTGCCTACATCCGAATAGCACGCACCAAAGATTTATGAATTCGGGAAGGTCGGAAAACATCCGACAACTTTCCAAGGTCAGACACTTTTCACAAGTCTGCTCGTCTTTCGCTTCTCCAAGCGTGCGGGCCCGGATGGCAACCTGATTGCATGAGATGCCTCCCGCAGAGTCCAACTGAAGCAACCGAAGAAAGGCCGTTTTTTCCTGCAATTTTATCTTTCTACACCCAGCCACAGGGCGCCCATCGAAACGGGACCACCACCAAGGAACCCCACGCATCGCAGGAAGAAAAAAGATAACAAAATCACTGCCGGGAAAACGCACCCCTGTCGCGGGACTCCCGCTCGGGGAACTTGACGTGGACATTGAAATCCTGGTTGATGCGCTGCACCTTGTGGCCCTTGGTGCCCATTAGGGCGCGGTGGTGCTGCTGGGGAATCACTACCTCCAGCGTCACCTGGGACTCCTGCAGGTATGCAACAGAGGGCACCATGGTCAGTTACTGAGGACAACCGAGCTACGAGAGTTGGCCACACGGCTTGCACCCTTTGGCCCTCTTCCAGGGGTCAAACGAGAGTGAATCAACAAGAGACGTCTGACCTCATGCAGATACCAGCTAGTGCATGTTAAATGTCTGAACGTACCAGACTCCTACAATAGACCCTTTTCAAAAGTGCGAGCCACATAGCAGCTGCTCAGGCAATTGCCAAAGTCTGCCATTGCTTGGGCACAGGCACTGAGCATGCATTGGACACGAGGGCTGCGTCAGCCAGTGGCTTAGCCAGGAATGTATTTCAGGGGTAGCTGATTTACACCCCAAGTCCGTGACTCGGGGTGCGGGTCAGCTACTCCACAGCTGTCTTGGTCACCCTCGGATGCCCCCAGGGTGACCAAGACAGCCGGGGTTTGGTCATCGTTGGGGGCACGTCCCTCCACAGTTATGGCTTTATCTCTGGTGGAATCATGTCACCTCCAAAAAGCTTCCTACATCCATGGTCTGTAGACTTCCCTTTGTATGACGTAGCGGCATTGAGACTGCGGCTCTAGTGTGATGGAGTAGTGCGCGGCAGACAACGCGGTTGCACAATGAGCGAAGGCGAGTAGGGAGAGCGATAGCCTGGCCGTTGGGTGCGGGTGCTAGTGCTCTCTATCTGCGATCGCGTGGGTTTTTGCCCGTCGGCCCGTCAACTCCGTGCCCCACTCACCAGGTCCTGGACGATCTCGAGAATGCGCTTGCGCGCACCGTCGACGCACTCCCGGGCCCCCTTGAGCTGCACCAGATCGCTGTGCTCCCCGCTGCGGGGGAAGCTCACTTGCACGCCACCAAACTCCTCCGCTATCTGCCGCAGCTCCTCCCCCCGGCGGGCCACAAAGTGCCGGTGATGGCGGGGGTCGATGTGCATTTCCTCTTCAACCACCTTCTCCTGCGAGGACAGAGACGGCGTCCCATCTTTCATTACAACCTTCGTCAAGCGAAAGAGGCTCTCCGATCTGCAAACACTCGTCTCGTGGCAAAAAGAATTGCCTTGTAAGGCATGCTCCCTCGGCACAACAAAACCTCGGCACACGGCAAAATGTAGCGCAACAGAACCTTGGCATGCAACAAAACATTGTTGCACAACGAAAAGTCACAACAAAACCTGAAGAAAAAGTGGACGAACCAAGTTCTCAATCATCTCCTCCAGCAGCTTCTTGGCCTCGAGGACGGACTCCTTCTTGCCCATAAGGACGATCGTGTCCTGGCTCTCGTCACGGTCCGACGGAAAGATGATGCGGGCACCGGTCTTCTCCCTAACCTGCATTTAGCAGCAACACAGATGTGAAAGCTCAGACGGTGACCGTGGAAATCGGGTCAAACAGAGAAGCTAAACATCATTCAGGACACAGATTGAAGGCTTGTTCACACGTAACGCTACGTCACTACCCCAGCACTACTTACCAATTCAGCGCTGGAAATAGCTTTGACCTTTGACCAGCACAGCATCAGCATTAAGTTAAATTCAAGTTAGCATTGCAGTAGTACTGTTTCCATCCCTGTTGCAGGTTAAGGGGGGACACTGGCTAGAGGTCAAACTTTTGAACTACTCAAGTGATCGGAATGAAATTTGCAGGGGAGATTTAGCTTCAGATGTAGGTGTACTGTGCAAACTTTCAGCTCTCTAGGACGAATTTACATACCTGCATAAGATGATGTGTCACTTTTCATTAAGAAATCTATGATATGCAAATCAAGCTATTAAGCATCATTTTGACTGCTTGAATATAAAGTGGGGGATATGGGACCTCGGGCTATCTAGTTTTAATAACTTAAATATAAATATTTCGGGAAGAGTTATTACCTCAAACTATGAGATGCATATCTGTCCTCTGTCAATTTTTAAAAACTTAGTTTTTTATCACTCAGGACTTCAACCTTAAAACAAAATAAAGTAGATAGCCCGATTCCTGAGTAAATTTGAGTTCAGAAACATCTTGATTGTGGTATCAGAATACTTTCACCTTCGAACAAAAGATTCCTTCGTATGAAATTTGCAGCAAAAAGTGGAACTGAGAAAAATGCATTCAAACATTGAACTCCTTTACTTCGTTACTGCCTCACAATCTGTTGAATATATTTTATATCAACATAACTATTTGGCGTACGGTTATCAAATTTGGTGTAAGGGTGCATAATTAGTTTCTAAAACTGAAAACCTCAAAATTAAAAAATGAATTTTTTTAAAAAAATTTAAAATTTAGGCCCATGTCCCCCCTTAAAAGAGAGCAGGAAAAAGTTCTCCCATGAAGCCCTTCACCCCTTGCACTTAGCAGGAGAGGAGGCGAGGCAAGACAAGGCGAGGAAGGACTCACCTCCTCTCCGACGTTCGCTCTGCTAAGTGGAGATGGTGAAAGGCTTCACAAGAGAGCTTGTCCCATATTTTTTAAGCTGCAGCAGGAATAGGGTTGATTTAGTGCTTCTATGTACGTGTGAACTGTCCCTCTTAAATAGCAGGCAATGCAATTGTAACGCTTCTGTATGGGCAACAATCCCAACTTTTTTAAGGCTATGGAAGCGATGCGCTCTCCCTGTACCATATTCTCGTTATGTGGTATCACGACGAAGGTGATGGTGGATCAGCAAACTCGGTGGACCGCGAATAAGTGGCAAATGTCGAAGCTAGACAGCAAAGCCCTCATGCACCCCTGTCACGCAGGTGTAAGACGAAATGGTGTTGGGAGAGGATAGGGAGAATACCAGAAAGGAACCTTGCCTTGCGGATGTTGGAGCCGTTTTTGCCAATGAGGAAGCGGTGGTGCTTGGGCTGGGCACGGACCTCCTCGGTGAAGCTGGACAGCTGCTTCTCGTTGGAGAGGTCAAGGAGCTGCTTCTTGGCCCGGTCCACGTCCTCCTTCGGCCCGCTGAGGGTGACCCGGTCGCTCTTGGAGTCCTGCTGCGGGAAGGTGATCTGCACCCGACCGCAGTCCTCCATGATCGAGTGGATCAGCCGCCCCTTGGCCCCGATGATCGAGTTGTGCAGGTTGCAGGGTATCATGATGCTCACTTCCACCACGTCCGCCTGCACATCAGTCACAAGGGGCGGGGACAAGGCACGAAAACACGGTTATTTCCACCTTCAATCTCAAGTGGTTTGCCCATTGCATATTAGTTCCTTAAAAAAAGAAGAGGCTGCTAGCACGAAATCTGCATTCAACGAATACAAAGGTAGAATGAATCGATATAGGAAGAAACGAGAGTGTAGACACACCAAATTTTTGGGTTGGTTCGTGCACATTCCACTAACCGTGAAATGCAATGTGGAATATGCCAAGATGCCGCAAATAATTCCTCGTCGCATTATTCTGACTTAATAATTTCAGTTTCAAATAGCCGAGAGCTGGAATCTTTGGGACGACGTTACAGGCTGGAAAGCCTGTAACGTCGTCCCAATGTGCAACTACGGCAATGCTCACATTGCCGTAGTTGCACATTGTTCAGTAAAAAACTGCAACAATGTGGCGCCTCTGTGCCACAGTTTCTGAGGACCTGCGAACGCCGCCATGGCTACGCTTCTTGGTCTGTGACATTGCTCCGAAATCCTGCTTCTCGGAAATTGAAATCAAAACCCACATACCCCTCAACGTCACCAACGAAGTCGACCGGCTAAGAAAATGAACAGCTCAAAGGAACAGAGAGCCCCACGGAGGGACCAGTTGGAGCTGGTGCCTGAAGAGACAGCGTCGGGGGAGTAGCATGTACCTGCTCCTTCTGTGCCTCGAGGATCTTCTCCTTAGCAGCGGCCACATTCTCCTTCTTGCCCGTGATCATGACCACGTCCGAGTTGCTGTTCTCGGCGGGCAGCTCTATCTTGGTGTCAGTCTCCTGCTGGATGCGGCGCAGGGTGGGCCTCCCCTTGCCCGCCAGGTGGCGCAGGAACTGCTTGAAGAGCACCAGGTCCACCCTGTGGCTGGAGGCCTGCAGGTCCCGGCAGGTCTGGGCCAGGTGCCGGTGGCACGCCTCCACGTCCTCCCGGGGACCCCGGATCAGCACCTTGTCGCTGCGGGCCCCGGCCTCCGGGAACGTCACGTTCACTTGGTTGAACTGCCGACGCACCTCCTGGGGGGATGGACGGAGGAGCATGCGGCATTTAGTGTGGGGTAACAAGGAAAGATGGCATGCGCAATGCCTCCTAGGAAACGCGTCCTAAATAACACCTCCTATGATTATGTATCTTTCTTTTTTGCTCCAATACCATGATTATCTTTGCTTTTTTTTTCGTGCTTGTAGTTATTTATGCTGTGAAACTGCCAGAGTGGCGGCCTTCAGCTTTGTCGAGCTGTCCCTTTCTTCCTCTCCTTGTGCTTTGTTGTTTGACAAAGCAAGCAGGGACAAATAGAAAACTAGACACAAACCACTATTGTTAGTTGCTTATGAATTGCAATAGCATTTGTCTAGGACAACCTCAAGGACAACGTCTAAGACAACGTCCTAGAGGACGACATCAAAGACGTCTAGGACAATCTCAAGGACAACGTCTAGGACAACCTCAAGGACGTCTAGGACCCCAAGAACGACGTCAAGGTCGTCAGGTCCTTTGAAGAGGGTCAAATATGGGAAAGAGTGAGAATGTGATCTGAAATGGTCTACTGGGAGTACCTACTACACATTAGAAGGCCAGAAATGAAAAAAAATGTGTGTGTGTGTGTGGAGGGGGGGGGGGGGGTAGCTAAAGAATGCTATCGCATAAAAAAACATCCCCAGTCCACAAAGCGATCGAACAAGGAAGAGGATAAGGCTGCTCATTAGCAATCAAACAAGAAAAAATTGGCCGCATGTTTGGTCATTCTGTCAAGCACGTTTAAGTGTGGTAGCTTTATTGGGTGGGCGGTGCTCTTAGTTCGGGTGGTGCCGAGGGCAGGATGACCCTTAGTCTTTCAGTTCCTGGGGTAAGTGTTGATCTTAGTTCAGGTGGTTCCAAGGGCCGTGTTTTGTAATGGGAACTCTCTTTGTGACGCTGCAAGTGCTTTCCTTCAGCACCAAACAGACACAAAACCTATGCGCTGAATTTTCTGGGTCACCGGGAAAGGGGAAATGTGTTTTCCTGCCCTTTCCACTCCTCATTCCATGCGCTCTTTCTATACCCCCTGTTTTTGCTCCTCTTTTTTTGCCCTTTCCACACCTCTCTGCTTGCTTTGTCACACCACCTGCTTTCACTCCTCCCATTCTTGTGTGCTGGGTCCGTAGCTCAGTCAGCAGAGCATTCCGCTTTCGCATTAGTAATCAAAGTTTAATCCCTGGCACCGACAGCAGTTTTTTTTTTTCAAGATTGTTTATTGTTACGGACTAACCGACCTACACATTTCGTGCTTACATGGCTCCTGATATTGTAATAGAAAAAAATGACCGCATCTCTACGTGGTGAATGATGTTGACTGGGGCGAAGCTCTGGTGGTGCTGATGATACTGATTTTATTGTTCATAGGTAGTGCTGATGGTGCTGATTTTTTTTTTTATTGCTCATAGGTAGTGCTGAGTTCGAAGCTGCGTTTCGACTTCATTATTACTGCTTTATGGTCGGTGAAATGCAGAGTCAGTGGTTCTTCTAGCAGATCAGCTTGGATCCGCTAGAAGCTGTGGGAACGCATCTCCACCGCTTAAGGGAGCAATGCAACAATTTTTGTACTGTGCACAAATACCGCTTAAAACGGATCCCTAACGTTAATAACGTATGAAACACGCGTTCCGTTTTTCACCCCACGCAATAGAAGTCCCAGAAAAGAATTTAAGAAAAATGAGCAGCGTTCACCCCCTCAACTCGCAGCCAGAACAAGCGGCCACGTGATCTGGAGCCGATTATATGCCGCCAGTGTTGATCATAGCCACGCGCTGGGGTTCGCAAAGCGCAGGACATGTGCTGAGTTTCAGACATTGTTATGGCTCGGCTATTGTCGTCGTTGCAGCGATTGGACACGGGTCACTACCCGAATGCTTCTCGAGCTAGTAATTATCACGAGCCGAAATCGAGTGCCCACGCAATGCTCGGGTCCAATCTATGAACCGCATTCAAACATTGTCACTTGGGTGTACTGCGATCCCCGAGTTACATCATCAAATTTTGCAAAGGAGAGATTGAATGAAAATGATCGCTTTTGTCCTTGAAATTACATGCAACAAAGGAGTTTCTTGGCCAATGGTGTTGCGTGTGAGTATCCTTGAGTCCCAGGTGTGCCAGTAAGCTCGTGTATAGTGAAAAACATTCCAACTGAATATCGTTGCACAGCTCCTTTAACTCAACGGTCCATGTCAGAAAGAGAATGTGTGGTATGGAACGTGGTTATATACGCATTTGAGCATTTGACCGCAGCGCCCTCTCCTGTATAGATGTTGAGCGGCTACATGCAACGTTTCATCCATGACAGAAACCCCAGCTCTTGAGTAACTACCACATCTCAGAGCCCCCTACTCGTCCCGCAGTCGTGGCCGAGTGGTTAAGGCGATGTACTAGAAATCCAGTGGGGTCTCCCCGCACAGGTTCGAATCCTGTCGACTGCGCAAACATTTTTCTTTTTATGTGAGCACAGACACCGGCTGGCCGGCCGGACGGATGGACAAGGTCCTTAGGGCAAAGGTCAAGGAGCTTTGCCCCTAATAAACCGATCCCACTTCTGGCACCGTGCATCCGTCGGCGTGCAACCGATAAGAGTCAAACTGATGCTGTCAGCTCCACGAACAGAACTGGAAGCAGTTTATTTCCATCGCAATATATTGCCAAGCATAGTGGCCACAGAGGCTGCGTTACACAGGAAGAGGCATCTACAGATAACACGGCAGCTATCACAATAGTGATTCAGCACGATACAGTTGGTCCTATAAAGCTACCGCTTCAATAAAGCAGTTTTGTTTTGTTCGAAGCTTCTTAGCGAAAACCAGAACAAGAGGTTTCAAGCATTTCCTTCTAAAGAGAAAATAAACACCCTCGATCAGCATGCTCTACACTGCAGACCGGGTGGCCCCAGTGACAACCCACAGCGAGTGCTACAGGTTGTCAGCGCTGACGCAAACTGTACTTGTTCTCCCACCTCTTTGAGTCACATTAGGTTTTCGTTACTTGAATGCTAAAGCACGGCCCACCCTGCATTTTGTTTTGCAAGTCGTCCGCTCGCTCTGGGGCGGATGTGCTATAATGCGGAGGAGGAAGAGAAGGGTGCCGTTCCCTGCCCACCTGGATGGCCTCCCCCTTGGCCCCGATGAGGTAGCGGTGAAAGCGGGGCTCCACGGTCAGCTCCCGGGTGACCTCGTTCTGCAGCTTGTGGGCCATGTCCAGCAGCTCGGCCTGGGCCTGGGCCACACCCTCGGGGGGCCCCTCCACCCGCACCACGGGTGACCGCGCCTCGTCCGAGGGCACGTGCACCGTCACCCCCAACTCCTGCTTCAGCCGGTTCACTGCAGTGTGACACCCCACCCATCCCGTCAGCCATGCAGCCCTCGTGCCCTCTGTTGCTCTCGCTGCCAGAGCACTTCTAGAGGGGGGACGTAAGCCTGAGCTTCAAAATTTCTTGAAAAAATTCATTTTTAAATTTTGAGGTTTTCAGTTTTAGAAACTAATTATACACCCTTACACTAAATTTCCTAACCATGTGCCAAATAGTTACGTTGATATAAAATATTTTCAACACATTGTCAGGCAGTAACAAAGTAAAGGAGTTCAATATTTGAATGCATTTTTCTCAGTTCCACTTTTTGCTGCAAATTTCATACGAAGGAATCTTTTGTTTGAAAGTAAAATTATTTTGATACCACAATCAAGATGTTTCTGAACTGAAATTTACTGGGGAATCGGGCTATCTACTTTATTTTGTTTTACATTAAAGTCCTCATTGAGAAAAAACTACATAGGACAGATATGCATCTCATATTTTGAGGTAATCACTCTTCCTGAAATATTTACATTTAAGTTATAAAAATTAGATAGCCCGAAGTTCCACATCCCCCACTTTATACTCAAGCACTTAAAATGGTGCATAATAGCTTCCTTTGCATATCATAGATTTCTTAACGAAGAGTGACACATCTTCTTATGCAGGTATGTAAAGTTGCCCTAGAGAGCTGAAAGTTTGCACAGTACAGCTACATCTGAAGTTACTGCTAATTTCATTCTGATCACTTGAATAGTTCAAAAGTTCAACCTCTAGCCAGTGTCCCCCCTTAAAGGGACACGAACAGGCCGGAGGAAGAAACTACCCCTCGACTTGTCCTTTCTCTTCCAGTAAGGAGGAAACCGCTTCTCTCTGCAGGGAATAACTCTTGGACCCACTTTTTTGAGTGAGGAGGACGCAAGAGTATGAGCAAGAAAAAGAGAGAAGGATTTTGGGGGAGCGCCTTCTTCCTGGCAAAAAGAACTGTCTCTGCATCGGTCATTAAGATGCTTTCAAGACACAGCAAAACATTGCCCGACGAGAAAGGAGAAACGACAACGAAGCCAAAATGACCCGGCACACTTTGGCCAAATGCACGCCCACCCCTCAGAACACGAAATTGCTTAATGCACAAGTGAAGCACATCAGCCAGCCATCTCGGCCAAGTGCTCCAAATGGGTTTTCCAAGTTTAAAAGAAGTACAAGTTTATTTTACGGAACAACGGCGCCGCATTCGCTCAGCGTTTTATCGCTCATCCTTATCATTTTATGCAAGACATAGGTGAAGAAAAGTTGGTTGACGGTTCTCCTAAATTATTAGAATAATGATGTGCAAAGGTTAAACTGGGTTCCGTCGGGGGCAAGCACGCAGTAGCGGCACCCACCGTTAGCGCCAGCCTTGCCGATGATGTGCCTGTGAAACTGGGGATCGATCTTGATTTCCACGGAATCCATTTTGCTCTCGATCTCCCGCACATTCTCCTCCAGGGCCGCCTTCACCAGCTCCAGCTCTTCCACCGGACCCTCGACCCGAATAAGGTTCTCGTCCTCGCAGAAGTCCACGTGCATCGCCTGCCCCGATTTCCGGGGTGCAGAGAAACAATTGTGAGACACAAACGGGAAGACAAACTTTTCCACAAGACTTGGAGAAGTTTTTATTGCTTTTCAGTCGAGAACTCCTCAAGACAACAAAAGTTATTTTGTAAAAAATTTTGTTTCTACAAGGAAAAGCATAATGCTATCAAAGGCCAAATGTTCTTAAAATTGTCCCTAAAGTGAAAATAACTCACTGTTAGTCTCGTCCTCTTCAAGCGCATCGAACATTGGAGTGATCTTTGTTGGTTACGGTTTAAAGGGACAATGAAGACGATTTTAATTAAATTTTTTAAATGGTGCTTTTAGGCTTCTTAGGAACCTGGGATACTGCAAATTTTTTATAGACATTTGTGACGCGTAATTCTGTACCTACGAGAGAACTGAAGAAACCGAAACTGAACTATCTGCGTTTCTCAATTTTGGGCCTCCGAAAACGGAGGTGACGTAGGGAGTGACGTCACATGTGAATTGTCGGTACCGGTAGCATTTAGGGCGTCAAGACTCTGGTTACCGCGGTGGGTTATAGCAGCGCGGTGTTCCGCGCTGCGTTCTTTATTTTATATATTTTCTTTGCCCATAGTTGCTCGTTGCCCGTTTCGCGTGCAGTGTAGCAAAGAGAAAAAGAATTATGGTGTTTTATTTACGGTTTAGTTATCATTTTTGGGGTGATTTATAGTTTTCATGGTTACTCAAGTGGAATTAGAACAGTGTTCATAAAAACCACGAGCCAAAGCGTGACCGAAAGCACGTTTCTCGTTTCGACCAATCGCTGACGCGTCTCTTGTGACGTCACGCTTCCAGGCCCCGCAGGGTCACGTGACCTCCGCTTCTGCTGGTTTCTCCCGCAACGCTCGGGGCGTCGCCTCGGTCGATCCCGGTACGATTATTACCGCGACTGTCTAATTGATTCGCGCGGCACACAAGCGCCGGTTTCGGCTGAAATTTGGGCAACGTGGTCTGAAACGTGCCGGGAACCCAGTTCAATCGCCAAAAAAATATCCGAAATTGCCTTCATTGTCCCTTTAAAGCTTATCAGACTAATCGACATACTAGATTTAATCGTAGAGCTATGCCAAACCTCCCGGCTTGTTGAACATAAAAGTGTGAGCTTTGAAGAACGCAAGGATTCTGCAGGTTTGAAAGTTTGATACACGTCGAATACTTCGACCTTGACTATTTGATTTCCAAACCTTAGGTTCTAGGTCAACTATAGCTGTAAGATATATAAGCAGCATTTCTGTGATCCTTAATTTTCTGTGTTCATAAGCTGTAACAAGTTCATTAAAGCGAGCGTGACAAACGGTCTTCGCCTCGCGAATCATGAGCCGTGTACGACGCCTCTGTTGCTCTAACGCTTCCCTATAAGCACATACATAGGAGCCAACAAGACCACAGGTTGTCGGGAAAGAAACGACCCCAGAGCCCACAGGTCTCACCTTGTGATCCTGAGTGATTTTCTTAATGTTCTCGCCCTTCTTGCCAATGATGTACTTGTGCATCCAGCTCTTTGCGGGGATGGTCGCCGTTTTCACACTGTTGGCCTGAAACAGAAGCACGGGTCATTGAAACGACACACCATGCCCGTCCCAGCTAAAGCTCACCTCAGTCGAGTGTGGATTTTCCTCCTTAGTACAATCAATAATCGTTAATTATATAAGGCAGACAAAGTGCTCGCAAAATTTAATCCGAAGCTTTCGAGGACAACATCCTAAGAACCGTAAGAGTGAGCAGCAACTGCGACGTCCTAAAATTACTGACAAAAGGAGACCGGCAGAGATTCTCCTTCAAATGCCCGGACTCCGGTGAGCGGATGTTGCCTTCGCCGTGCTTTGGCTGTGCGTGAACGCTACAGGCCTGCGAAACACCTCGAAGTTATCCGAGGTAGGAAGCTCGCGTTGGAGGCGGCAGAACTGGATCTTCACCGTGCTGCTCTCACCTCGTCAGTGAGTATAGCGGCAAAAAAAGAGGGACCTCGAATAAATAGAGTCCTAACATCCTTGCAGAGATTTCGTTACCGAAAACCTCATCGGTATTTTCAGACAACGCTTCCCCGGGACGGAAAAATGGTTGCACAGATGCTTCCGACTCTAGGGTGGAGATGGAAGGAGCTCCCACCTTCTCGTAGACGAGGGAGAGGGCGTGCCCGAGGTTCTGCGCATCCCCCCTGAGCACGATCGTCTCTACGTCGCTCTCCATGGGGGGCACCTCCACCCAGACGCCCGTCTGGTCAAACAGCTCCTGCAGGGTTTGGCCGCGGAACCCGTGGACGTACTTGTGCTGGGACTTCTTCACCTGAAGGGGAGGAGGAAGCATCTGGGCTGAAGAGGAGTGCGCTCGACGGGCAAGACGGACACGTTCCGGAAATAGCGTGCTGCTTGGATCTGCCCCAGGCAGCGTGACGCTGCACCTCAATGTCACGGGACACAATGTACTGCAGTGGTTTCTCGTTATGTGACATCGTGTTGCACAATTCGAGCGACACCATGGTGTTGGAAGACCCGACATCAAGCGAAGTGGTCACATGACATAACGGCATGATCTCGAGTCGTAGTGTCGTGCCATGTCAAGTTATAACACGACTTGCCACCCAATGCTACTAGATCTAATAACCGTGACACCACGCAACATCACGACTTTGCACCGTGGGTCACGTGACTTAACATTGCACGACTGGTGCGGGTTGGTTCAAAATATACCTCCACGTGAAACGTCGAGGAATGATTTGCATTCCTCTACTTTTATGAGGGAATGCAAAGCATCGGTCTTCTCACCTCCACGCCGACACTGTCGCAGTGCGACTGGCGGTCGTTGTAGATGGCCATGATGGCGTCCCGAGCCCGAGCCACATTCTCCTTGTCCCCCGTGACGGTGATTTCGTCCTCCTCCCGGCCCAGCCGGATGCGCACAGTATGTTCCTGCTCCAGGCCCCGCACCACGTTGTCGTAGGGGCCCCGCACGAAGGGGTGGTACATCCGGGGGATCTGCAGCCTCTCCACACCCTGCTTGGACTTCTCCTCGGAGATCTTCTGGATGTGGTCCCGGGCAAGGTCAATGCCCTCCTTGCTGCCCGTGATGGTGATGGTGTCAGAGTTCTCGTCTGTGCGTGGCACGTGGATTTTGGTGGCCGTCGTCTGCTCCAGCTCCTTCAAGTTTTTGCCCTTCTGGCCCAGGATGAAACGGTGGTGCTCCTTGGGGATCTGGATGCTGCCAGAGGCCTGCACAAGCGAAGAGCCGGTCACCGACACTTCTGGACGCAGAATGTATCATAGGGCCGGGTTTCATGAGAAAAACGGCACGTTACGCTCGACCGACACACGGGTTAAGGTCATATAAGCAATACAGGGGCTACTCATTGGACACCATACTTGAGTGCACTGTTCACTGGGCATGCTCAGAACGAGTTTGCATTCATAGGCCGCTAAGACAGACTAGCTCTACGGTGTAAAATGCAAGATTAAAAAAAAAAAAAACTGTGGAAACTCGTTGTCGGCACGTGTTTGGCAGCCGCAGACTCAGCTATGGCCACTGGCGTATACTCTCTATAGCACCATAAGTGCTAGTACTATATTGCCCACATGACCTCGATTCAGAGTGTCAGACGACACTGTGACATCACAAGACATTGTGATGTCAAGACGATTGAACTTGACGTCAAGTGACATGACAGTCACGGTGTCATGTGACATCACTTCACGGTGTCATGCAACTGTTATGTCATGAAGTCACGTGCCTCTGTGGCCTCACATACCACCAACACACAGCACGTGCCCAGCTCAATCACAACACATGCTGTGAATCTCCAAGTCTATCAGATGCCACAGAAACAATTTTGGTACACTACCGACAAACAGGGGGGGGTTGGCACGCACCTGCGTCTGGAGGGCCCGCATGACATGAGCACGAGCCAGGGCGACGTTACGCTCGCGGCCCGTGACCAGCACCGTGAGTGAGAGGTCGCGGGAGGAGCTCACTTCGATGGTGGTCTGGGTGTCCCGCATGATGTCCGCACAGATCTTGGCCTGCTCCCCCAGGTCCCCAAAGCGCTGCGAGCTCGTCTCGCGGAAACGACGCTCCTCGCTTGGCACATGAAAGATCTGCACACGCGCCACAGTCACTGTTCAACCTACGCGTAGTCCACAAGCGTTTCTCTGCAGCTGGTATGGCTGTTTTCAATACAAGGGCGACAAAATGTGCGTCATGCTGTTTGCACGACGGACGGCTTCGGCAAGTAGACAAATTGGAAAGCCTTCTCCACACTCCTTACTTGCATCTATGGTGACTCACCTACGAAGTCTGTCTGGCAGCTAGAGGAAATATCTACATTCAGAATGCACTGCTGAGCCCTGGGTTTTGGTGCTGTTACACATAGCACTCAAAATTACTTATACCTAGTCTCACAAACGTGCAATGTGCACTGCACATACGTCAAGCGCAATCACAAGCACTTAGTCCCGTGTAATATCCACTCCGTACGCATGGATGGTGCACAATTATGCGTAACCAGCCTCGCAAACGTGCGATCTGCACTGCGCCCACATAGCCCACCTTGTTTTCCATGGAGCTGGGTGTTTACCTAACACAAACCCTGTGGACTGAATACTTTATGACCGCTTCCTCAATTGAATGCGGGCACAGATTGGACAAGAGTACTGCGTCGGCATTCAGCAGGGACTGATGTTCCATCCATGCTTCATCATTTGAACATGAGCCCCAGCCGAGCTTACATGGGGACCACGAACAAATAAGTTGTGCTGTCATTGTCCCCATGGGTTTAGTTCTCAACTCAAGGCTGGTTCACAACTTTGCATCCGACCGTGCTCGAGCAAATTGCGCTTCCTCGTAACCGCGTACAACGAGAAAATGTAATGGTACGCTGGTGGCATCTGTTGGGTGGCCCCGGAACTGCATATTACTAGACCGAAGGTGTTACAGTAGTTGTGCGAAAAACCCTACGCCCTACCTACGAGAAAAGGCCACTGATAACTAGGGTTCTGCATTTTCGAGAAAATCCGTAAAAATCAGAGGAACACTTTCTGGTAAATTTTCTGTCAATCCTGATTTAAGCGAAAAACTTTCAACTTTGAGGTTGCGATGACAAAATAGTATAATGAAAAAAAGATGGTGCTTCACAAATAAACTTTATAAAAGCTCAGGGTCAGCGGTCCTAAGGAGATGCCACTTCAGTTTCGTTGGAATTCTCTAACTACCGACAAAACGGGTTTGCCTTTTAGCCTGCTGCGGCTCCTTCACGGCGATGGGTCGTGGTACTCAAACTTCACTTATTTTGTTCTTGAATTCTCAGAAATTCGGAACAGAATAAACTAAATTCAGAACCGCAGATAATCGAGAATCCAACAAAAATAAGCTTACATAAACCCCAAAATTTTAGCGAAAAAATAAACTCCGAAAAACGCCCTCCGAATTCCACAGAAATAAGCTCCGAAAACGCGGAGTCCTACTTACGACAGAACCCATAGTGGAAGAGCGCCGTGTAAAAAGTAATGAAAATGTATATTTTGATTAAGAGGCTTCCAGGCTACCCCGATAGACGGCCCAAGTATGCCAGCGAGTTCTCCTGTTGGAAGCAGTCACCAGAAAATGTGACGCACTCGAGCACAGTGAAGCCCAAATATGCGAGCCAGCCTTTAGCTGCTAGGGGCTTGACGGTTAAGCACCCTCCCCGACGAGCCCCTCCGCCCACCTGGGTGATGACGGAAGACTTGACGTGCATCCTGTGGTTCCACTGTCCCAGGCTGCCAGAGCTGCTCGACACCTCGGGTACGGCCTCCTTCTCGGGCAGCGCAGGGAACACCTCATCGTAGCTGAAGCCCCCCGCGCCGGACGAGCCGGAGGGGGCCGCGGGGGGGCTGGCCGGGCACGCCTCCTCCGCCAGGGGGCCCCCCGCATCCCCACCACCTCCGGGGGTCAGCGCCACCGACGCGCTCTCCAGGTGCAAGTCCGCATTCATTGTGGCTGGGGACTCGTCCAAAGTCAGACAGTACAGCTGCAAGCATGCGCGCAAGCGGCGGGTCACCAACAAAGCAGCTTCTCAACGCGGGCAAGCTCCAGAAGATTAGTTTTCCGTGCGAGTAACTTTGTCAAAGGACTCTATTCACCTATAAAATGCAATAAATGGGACATCGATTTTTTTTTTTTTTATAATCTCGAAATGGTCAAACGTACAAGACGCACTCAGCATGTCAGATTGCAATATTTGTATAAAACATGATTGATGAGAGAGACAAAAGGAAGAAAGCTCCTCATTGACTGGAGGCTCAATAGCCCGAGGCTCAATAGCTCACGTAAAATTCTGAGCCCCCAGCAAAGGCAAACTGGATATCCCTTCATCTTTTGCCCGCACATAACAAATCCAAGTGCGACTTAACACCGAGTATTTGGAAGGACTTTTCACCTTGCAACGCCATGCAAGCACTTCTTCGAAAGGGTTGCGAAGTCTCGCTTTGAACGATAGGCACTCCCCTCCTTTGAGCAGGTTTCGCCATTTCGTTAAAATGTTAATTTTGTTTGTGTACGACGAGCCTAGGGTAACTACTGAACGATCAGGACGTTAGATGAAGTATTACAAAGGGAGGTGTTGCACCCCTGATGTTTCTTGGCCGACGTAAACAAAGAATAATATAAGCTTTGACATCCGATACACCGAAAGCAAGCTAGTTGTGCACAATATATTAAAGCGAAAGCATTAAGTGTCCCATAGAGCGAAGACGGCATTGTCTGTAACCGTCTGTAGCAGAAAAACGGCACCCACAAGCAGAATTCCCAATAAGTGCAACACATCAGATGCTTCGTCGCGGAAGTTGGCCGGGCGCTCAAGGTCAAAGCAGACGCGCCTCGGGAATTAAATCCAAAGAAAATCACGGCAACGCAGATGCATCGTCACGGAAGCCGTGGAAAAAGGAAGACGTGGTACACTGCTTGTAGGAATGCGCTGCGTGTAAGAATGCTTTCTTTCGCATATCTATACGTGAGCAGTCTTAAGTGTCTCTCCGAATTTTTCGAAACTTGCATCAAGAATTCGCATGCATTCCATCCTGCCAGTTCATTGCTTCCAAGTGGTGTCGCATTAGGCTGTCCACCAAAATGTTTTCATATTCCCTAACTACGTTACTAAGATTCTTGAACCGAATCCTCAGGGGACAGGACATGTCTGGAGTGCCGTCTTTATGTAATAACACCAGTACATCTGATAGCTTTTCCTGTTCAAACTTCGAAATGTCCTCACCTAAACAGCAGAAATGAACTCAACCAGCATGCAGTGGACAGCCCAGAGAAACGGTTTATTTAGGAGTGGGTGAGGAAGCTCAAAAGACAAGCACTCGGGTCGTGAGGCCATTTGGCAAAGCTTCTGTGCAGAGCGACAGTTCATTTAAGGATGCAACAATGACAATGGGGGAAGTTCACCCTGGTGCACGTGTTTCAAGGTTTCAAGACAAGGTGACTCGGGTTGAACATATTCGCACACTGAGAATTTTGTCAACTGTTGCCACATTCATGGTACCAGCCAAATGATCTCCAAGCGCAGAATATCAAGCAAAAAGGATATCAGTGAGAAACAAACACACGACAACATTTCACACAAGTTCGCCCACGTCGTCATCTGCTTCAAAAACCAAAGAGGACTAAAAAAAAAAAAAATGTGGTCGGGTGTAGTTACACGATTTCGGGTCACCAGCTACCGTACCCGTTTGGTTTCGGTTTCGAGCAGTCGAGTTTTAATGTGTTAGCATTAGTGCCCTGGTACACGCGCTGACCTTGGACGAGGTTGGAGCACACTTTTATAGAGTTTGCAACGTCGCCACTGCCCCACGAACACCTAGCAACCGAAGCTCGCCGCCGACGTCTTCCTTCGCCAATTTTGGCGCCGCACAGTGAAGGACGGCAGGTGTATCACCCGCCGTCCCACACTGCATGTCAGACAACCACGGACCGTTCACGCCGCTCCGCAGTGACAGTCCGCAGATGGCTCATTACAAAATATTGACCCACATTGGGCCACCCATACACGCCGCCTCGCAAAGTTACGACGGCGGCCCAAGTACGCCCTAGCCCCGCAGCCCCCCCCCCCCCCCCCCCCCCTCCCTCAATTGCTAGGTGTTATGCAGGGTTGGACAGAGATACTCTCAAACATGCTTGGAAATACAAGTACTGGGATACATGGCAAAAACAGCTAAAATACTGATACTGAAATACATTCCTAAAATGTATCGCAATAAGTATCAGAAATACATTTGAAAAATAGAACAGTATTTGGAAATGCAAATACAGATGTACATCAGACACTGAAATACATTGTAATAAAAACATTATTTTAAATGTTTTGGTGCACCCCCTTACAGCATATAAAAAACGAAAAGAAGCATGCTATAGAATTCGAGGTTTTGTTTTTAAACCAGAAAGCGAGTTCTCACTACATGTTGAAGCCTGAATTAAGTTTGAATCAAATTTACTGCAGAATTCACATCTTGTACTTTAGAAAGTCATAAGGGAAGCAAGCGATTTTTTCGCCGTTCCTCGAGTGCAGTTTTATTTCAGTGTTTCTTATCTTTCTGAGACAAAATCCCAGCGACAACTAAATCAGTTTAGTGTCCTCCCAAATAACCACGAGAGGTCGCTATGTTTATGTCCAATCCAGACGCCTCTTTCAGCGTTGACCTTATAACGTCACCGTGGAACGAACTTTAAGGAACCCATATCCTTTTAACTGTTAGTTGGGTGCGCCGACAGAGCCTTTAACTTTTGGATTCGACTGGAATAGTCGACCACCTAAGTGTGGGAAAACATTTAACTTTTGCACAATAAAGAGGGGAGTCATCTGCGGTCAGAGACACAAAACATCCCTGAAGAAACTTGGTCTTGACCCTCTGTGTGGAGGTAAACAATTCTTTTAAAATTGTAACAAAATACATCGGCCCTAATGGTATTGCGACACCAAGAAGACATCCGAAAATGTGTTTCAATTCAGAAATACAAAATACAGTTGCAAAATTGTATTGCGATATGTCCGATCATGTAGAATATGTGTCCTCCCAAATAACCATGAAATGTTGTCCACATAGAATGATTAACAACTTGCCTTACTATACTTCACTTTGTCTCACAGGTTACAAGCTTCTCTAGCATGTGTGCCAATGAACTAATAGGTCATTTTAAATTGTATTGAACATATGCGGAGGATCAGAAGCGAGGGTAAAGATGCACAATGACCCCAACACCTAACTTGCATTGGGACTGGCGGGGCACTTGTTCACTGCAATAAATCATCTTGACAGTTGATGACAGAACAAATAATTTTTAATGCAAGCTCATCTGAGAATACAGAATCACCCATCTGAGTTGGATTTTGCTTAGCAGCTCAAGCACTTGTTTAAAATCTTAAATTTTCAAAGTAGACTGCTTTTATGGGCTGGTTTTCAAGCCTTGAGTGTGGGGGGGGTCCTTATTCGGAACATTCGGCCTCCTTGCCAAGTGCTTCAACCTGTTTGTGAAGTATAGGAGGGTCCCGTCTTGGAGGGCCTTCCTCCTCACCCCCTCCCAAAGGAACTTGCCCCCCCCCCCCCCCTTCCCTCCCCCAATCCGGAAACCTAGTAGTTTTGGGTGACAATGCTGTGAGAGAGAAGGTTTTCGTACATTCCGGACTGCAGGAACGAAGAGACTCCTCCAGCAAATGCAATAGAGAAAACACATGTCACAAAGTTCCTTCCTTCTTTGCTCACTAGAACTGCGTTCTAGGAACAGTGTAGTCAAGGTGAGCCCTTCTATCTGACCTTATCGGCACAGGTATTTGGGAGTGTCTTGGTGTTCTAACAAACAGTGTTGGACACGGTCCTATTGTGGTATGTGCTCCTTTTTTCTTAAAAAAGTGATCACTGGTGTGGCTTAAAGTAACTGGATTGTGGGAAAGTATGGTCGTCATTCTGGCTCATGAAACGAGCAATTTCTCCTCAGCCTCTCCATTCCTGGTGAGCCGATCTAAATTCAGTGGTGATGAGTATCTTTATAGAGACGTTCCTTGTATACCAAGATATTGCTACCCACACACTGACGAAACAAGCGTTCATATCTTCGTACCACCACCACATGTGGTGTCGGTGCTTGGAGGCATTGAAAAATAATTTTCCTGTTTTGAAATATGCCGGAAGAAGAATATAATAGTAAGAGACCCGTGAAGATGGGCATGATTGATAAGCTGACTGCATACACAGCGCCAAAAACTCTTATATTGGTGAGGAACGCCTACAGTACAGTGCTGCTCCATGGTGATTCTGGTGCGACTGGATTAGAACGACCCTCCCGAAGCTTTGAAGATTTCAAGGGATCGAAATGGTGATTGCCATAGCAACGAAAACTGATTAGCCAATTGCCTTGCAAGGTTTTGGTTGTCTGTATATTAGTATTTGTTTGCGTTTGGCTAGCAGAAGGGAAGGCAATGGCGCTACTCTTCGAGGATCCAGTGACTTTGGTGCGGCTGACGTTCGGACCCGCTCGTAGCAGTGTTCGCGAGAGAAAGCTATGAGGTGTCGGAGTAGGCTTAGCGCCCCCCAATTCGAGACTGCCACTAAACCCTTAGGTTACTACCAGGAGTGACTGTCTCATATTTTGGCACCCAACGTGGGGCACCAGTTTAAGTGGGGTTTTCGCCACCAACAGAGGTATTGACAGGGTAACCAAAGCTTTATTTCAACAGTGGTGACAATCTCAAAACAGGAGACATCACCTAGTAGCATGGTCTCGCATCTCTCCGGCAATGCAGACAACATTTAGGCTACATTACCACAGGTCAGTTCGATAAATACCTATGCCATGCTGATGTTTGCTACCTTGCTTATCTCTTGAATTTAGCAGAAGTGAAGACACACATACCAGAGTAAGGATAGAGTAAGGACACTCCCTAAAATGAACTCCCCATAAGAAATAATCCTTACTTGCCAGGCACGGGGTCCCGAGAGCAGCCGAGGGCGGGAAAACGTCGGACAGGTTCCCAAT